GACTGGAAAAAGGCCAGTGTTTCCAATTTATGAAAGCCAGATGATGACAGGGAAATCATCCCCTTATCCATCACCAGGAGATGGTCTCAATCATGGCACCTGTGCTGGTTTAACTAAGAATGGCCTCCATAGGCTCATAGATGTGAATACTTGGCCACCAGGGAGTGGCACTATTTGAAAGGTTAGAAGGTATGGACTTGTTGGAGGAAGTGTGTCACTGGCTTTGAGGTTTCAAAAAGCCCATTCCAAGACCCGAATCTCTCCCCTCCCGCTGCCTGAGGGTCCGGTAGAACTCTCAGCTCCTTCTCCAGCATCATGTCTGCCTGCATGCCGCTATGCTCCCTGCCATGATGACAACAGACTAAACCTCTGAAACTGTAAGCGAGCCCCAGTTAAATGGGGCTTTCCTTTATAAGTTGTCGTGGTCATGGTGTCTCTTCACAGCGATAGAGCACTGACTAAGACGGCACCACAGAATGCCCCACAGCTTTGAAAATAATGTTCCAGCGTGCCAGCCTCAACAGCAAGACCATGGGCAAACTACTAAGGGGAAAAGTCATGTCAGAATGTGCATGGACACAGGCTGACCCCATTGTCATCCATTCCTGGGAGGAGTACTTCAGCAGAACTTGGGTCTCCTGACCAGAGAGGGGTGAACTGACAACCTCGCTGGGAGGAGGGAACAGCTAGCAAGCAAAGCGGAAGTGAGTGGCCGTCACTTGTCATGGCGTCTGCCCTTGTACCAGACCCAGGCCCGTAAGCATTTGGAGACTTTTGTCTTGCTTAGCCTTCTGCTATCCCAAACGGTAGCTACACGGACCTTTTCTCTTTATAAGTCACTTGCCTCACATATTCCATTGTAAAATAAAGCTGACTGATGTTCCTTCCTCCTCAGCAATGCTTTGAGATAGATAGGTTTCACAGGTGCATGAGGACCAGGAGGCGGGGCCACTGACAGATTTCACAGGGGCATGAGGACCAGGAGGCGGGGCCACTAACAGATTTCACAGGGTCATGAGGACCAGGAGGCGGGGCCACTGACAGATTTCACAGGAGCATGAGGACCAGGAGGCGGGGCCACTGACAGATTTCACAGGGGCATGAGGACCAGGAGGCGGGGCCACTGACAGATTTCACAGGGGCATGAGGACCAGGCGGCAAGCTCACTGCCATCTCAGAGGCTGCTGGCCACAGAAACTGTGCTGGGCACCTGCTTTCGAGTAGCTTCCAGTGGGATGAGGATCAATACTTTGCTCTACCAACCACTGAAAACCAGCTCAGAGTCCCAGCCAAGCCAGGCTCCTCTCCCCGCTTGCTACAGAAGGAAATCATTTTCTATAATGAGGTCTTCACGCCGTTCCCTAAAAAGGAAAGTTTGTTATCAGCCAGCCTCTGCTTCGTTACTTTTGAGACGCACAGCCAATTTTTCTGGGTGCCAACGTCTCCTCTCTGTGTCGTGCAAACGTGAGTCTGAGCTACAAAGGGCCATCACCTCATAATCTGACCGTTAGAAAGATGTGAAGAGGGGCATGCTACCAATCGTGTTTCGGTTTTAAATTCCAATAAAAATGAGCTGATGCCTGAGGTTTGAAGGTGTTTGTTTCCATCTGCTTCTATTGTCCCTACCCTAAGGGCTTCCCGAGAGAGTCACGTATACTGTCTGCACCCATGTTGACTCAGTGGCTCTTTATTTTTTTAAAATCGTGTTTGTGTGTGTGTGTGTGTGTGTGTGTGTGTGTACACTCACACACAAGAAAAACAATACACATGTGGAGGTCAGAAGACATGTCAGTTCTCTCCTTCCACCGTGTGAGTCCCAGGGATCGAACTTAGACTGTCGGGCTTGGCAGCAAGCGTCTTTCCCCGATGAACCATCTCACTAGCCCAACTCTTTGGGGGTTTGGGGGGGGTGTCTGTTTGTTTGTTTGTTTGTTTGTTGTTTTTTCCAGCTTTTCAAGACAGGATTTCTCTGCCTAACAGCACTAGCTGTCCTGGAACTCGCTTTGTAGGCCAAGCTGGCCTTGAACTCACAGAGATCTGTCTGCATCTGCCTCCCCAATGCTGGAATTAAAGGGATTAAAGGGTTCCATGAGCCATCACTGCCCGGCTCAACCCTTTGGTTTTCTTGTTTGTTTTCATGTCATCCCCCTTGCTCTGTCTACTTTAGACAAGATATTCGGAAGATGCAGAAATATCGCTATGTCTTACCAAAACTTCTCCAGGATGGCACACAACAGCCAGGAGCCACATGAATAAGGACACACAGACACTGACAGGACAAAACCCTAAGGAAGTGAAGCATGACAGTAATCAACAGCCACCAGCTTTCCCACATCATGTGCACAGAGAGCGTGCCACCAGATTGTTACCAGTGTGAAGTTCAAGTCAACTCCATGGTGTGTAAATGGTCCTTATTTTGTATGTTTGTGTCTTTTCTTGAAACAAATTAAATCATAACCTATGTCCCCATTAGTCCACCATGCCCAAAAGTCCCTACAACCTACATGAACACCCCATGGGAAAAAATGGTATAGAAACTGTAGTATATAGAATATTCCAGAAGAACCCTGAGATCTTCAGTGTAGTGCCAAGGAATGATTTGAGATGTGGAGAGCTACTAAGTGTTCACTTTAGAATTGTTTCTCTTAATATATGCATAAGCTAGATAGTATGAAGACTGACTAATAAAATACTGAAATGTTATTATCAGTTACTATTTCTGAAACTATTATCCAAGTGGCTCAGAGATCACATTATTCTCTGGCTGTCATGCAAGCTTCTGAAAATCATGTTGGGCAGGGGTTGGGGGCGTGTGTATCCCTGTGAGCAGAGTGCTTACCTACCATGAAGGAAGCTCAGGGTCCAGTCCTAAAACAGCATGGAAAGCGGGTTTGGTGATGCAAGCCTGTGAGCTCAGCACCTGGTGGGGAGGAGCAGGACAGTCGGGAATTCTTGAGGTCATCCTCGGGCAAACAGCAAGTTCAGGCTAGCCTGGGCTATGTGAAGACTGTCAAGACAGAAACAGAAAGATGAGAGGGAGGTCAACCTCAGGCGTCTTCCTTAGTTGCTTTCTACCTTATGTTTTGAGGTAGGGTCTCTCACTGTCCCAGAGCTCATTGATGAAGCCTGGCCCACCAGCCCTGTGGATCTGCCCCTCTGCCATCTCACCAGTACATGGAATACAACTATGTGCCAACATGCTTTTCTCGTGTGTGCTTGAGGGATCAAACTCGGGTCCTCATGCTTGTCAGGCAAACACTTTACCAGCATATCTTTCTCCTCAGCTCTATTTAATGCAGTTTTTAAACAACGAGAGAAAACCAGGAGGTATTGACAGAACCTGAACAGTGAGAGTTAAGATCTTGGTACCCCCCATCTCCACCTCACCCCAGCGAGTGTCCCTCCAAAATGTTCCCTGAGTTCAGTCCACCCAGCATCCCTAGCTGTTCTAGTTTCAGTCTGTTACTGTGGCAAATACTATGACCAAAATCAGCTTTGGGAGGGAAGGGTTTATTTGGTTTATGCTTGCAGGTCACAGTCCATCATGGAGGGAAGTCAGGGCGGGAACCCAAGGCAGGGACTTAAAACCACGGAGGAATGTTGCTTGCTAGCTCACTCTCTGGCTCGCCCTCAAGCTCATGCTTGCTACCTTACAGCCCAGAGCCACCCACCTAGGTGTGGACCCAGGGAAGGGACTGCCCACAGTGAACTGGGCCCTCCTTCATCAATTAATATAGACAATCCACCATAGACGTGGCCATAGACCAATCAGATCTAAGCAATTCCTCAATCGAGGCTCTCCACTCAAACGACTCTAGGCTATGGCAAATTGAAAATTAAGGCTAAGTAGGATACCAGGTACCCTCTGTACACTCGTCAATTCTGCAGGCTTCTGTGGTGCCCTGGGACAGCAGCCACCTTTTGTGCACTGGTCAATTCTACAGGCTTCTGTGGTGCTCTGGAAGCCCCACAAGGCTTGGTGCCAAAACCGCAACTATACCCACATTGGCAGGTTGAAAGACTTAGCCACAGGAGGTAGGTTCAGCCCACTGGAGCAGAGCTGGGAGCTGACCCTCAGACTGCAGTCTCAGCCAGTCTGTACCATGCACCTTCCAGAACACCTAGGTGAAGCAGGACTCATCAAAGCTGCTGGTAGCAAAGCCCACAGCCATTCTATTGGCCATGCAATCTGTGAGATACTCCGTTAACTCTGAGTTGGATTCTTCATCTTCAGTAGAAGCCAAGGGCCACTGTACCTTCCTGTAAGGGCCATGGTGAGGTGACACCCTGGCCCAGAGGAAGACTCATCCCCACAGCCGGCACCCTATCTAGTGTGCTGGCAGGAAGGTACAGGTTGTATTTAGACAGAGAGTTCAGTGACCCCCAGCAAGCATCAAAATCCCCTTAGTTCTCAGCCTGCTGATCTGTCCAATGCACAGTCCCCATATCCCCACCTCATCGGGCTGACCAATGGAATCTGGACACAGAGGACACCAGACCCTGGCCTTAAGAGGGACCTGCCCTTGGTGCAAAGCCCACTATTTGGCATTTTTACTACTTTTGGAAGAGGGACCATTCATTTTCAATGCAAGCTGAGTTTCTTGTTCATTTCCTTTCTTATTTCAGAGGATGCTCTGTCCTCCTCTGCCACCCCAGTCTGTATTCTAACCAGAGTCCTAAGGGCTCTTGTTATAGCTCACTGCACCTTTTCCTACTTGAAACTGGCTTTGTCACTGTGATTTTATCAGTGACTCTTCTCACTTGGTGCCCGATTATTTTTGTTATTTATTTACTTATTATTTATTTATTTATTTATTTATTTATTTATCCATTGAGGTAGGCTCTTAAGTAGCCCAAGCTGGCCTCAAACTCACCGAGAAGCTGAAGATGACCCTAAGCCTCTGATCGATCCTTCTCCCTCCACCTCCCAAATGTTAGGACTATGGATGTACCACAGCTCACTTGGCTTATTTGCGGGTTCCTCTCTTCTACATATTCCCTAGCTGGTTCTGGGATGCAGGGAGAACAGGCCAGCGTAGCTGTAATGTTCATACATAATAAGCAAAAGCCCCTGGTACCACTTCTCCTGACTGATGATGGCAGAGGTCTCAGGGTATTAATAGTGGTTGGTGGCGCTTCACTGATCAATCCGCTAGAGGACCATGAGCCCGACAGAAAGGCAGCTTGGAACCCTTCCTGGAAGGGCCCGACTCTTCAGGGGCCCCTGACAGCCAATCCTCAAAGCACTGAGAACTGGTTCCTCGATTTCAGAGAGACTTAGAGCACTAGGAAGCACATCAGCCCTCTTCCCACATTCCCCACGCACTTCCTCCTCAGAGATGGAAGGAACTGAGCCCAACTTCTAATCCCTTGCTGATGACACTCCTGCTGAGGGATCTCAGTCAAGAGGCTGCATTGTGCAAGCCTCAGTTCCTCATGTATGAAATAAGGATTGGTGGAGAATAAGCCCTGGCTTCTGCCCCTAGCATGGAAGGGGAGAGAAAGAGACCACACAGGTGGTGGGCTGAGTCTTTTGTCCTCCACAGCCTGGTTCCTTGTAACTGGAGTTTTCCTGCCTGGCCCACAGTCAGGACAAATCTCTGACACCCGCCAGTCCCACAGCCACTCAAACCCGACCAAGTAAACACAGAGACTTATATTGATTACAAACTGTATGGCTGTGGCAGGCTTCTTGCTAACTGTTCTTACAGCTTAAATTAATCCATTTCCATTAATCTATACCTTGCCACATGGCTCATGGCTTACCGGCATCTTTACATGCTGTTTCTCATCATGGCGGCTGGCAGTGTCTCTCTCACTCAGCCTTCCACTTCCCAGCTCTATTCTCCTCCTTGTCCCGCCTATACTTCCTGCCTGGCCACGGGCTAATCAGTGATTTATTTATTGACCAATCAGCAACACATTTGACATACAGACCATCCCACAGCACTTCCCTTTTCTTTTCTTAAAAAGGAAGGTTTTAACCTTTACACATCTCCAAAGTCAGCTTGGTATATTTGGGAATTTGGGCGTAGCTTCTCTTACTACTTCCTGCTGGAGGGGGGCGCTGTATCTTATGGGGACACAAAGAATATTTTAGGGTTATGGAGTAGTCCATGAGGGTGTATCGTCTGAGCCAGTTGCCTTGAAATGGTTCTGGATGTTGGATCATCTGGGCCATGGTGTCATCAGAGACCTTTCAGGTGGTCTTGGCTGGTCAAACCTGATGTGTCTTAATCCGGAACAAATCCATAGCCTCTGGCTTTCTGTAGAAACAAAAGCAGAGCCTCCTTTCCAAAGCAACATATGCTTACATCCAAATTTTGAAGTCAAGGTACCTTTAAAATATACATTTTGGCATAACTCAACAGCTTTTGTAATCAAATGTTTTTCTTTAGTTACGAATATCAAAGAGAACATAATCCAGATTCTCTGTGTGGTAGTCATCTTTATGTGGCTTATTTTTTTTATATTAGCTTGAGCCTATTGCTTTGAACTGTAGCCTTCTAAGCCTGAAACGGCGCTGGCGCTGTGGCTGCTGGCTCCGCCCACTTCAGCTTCCCAACATGGCAGTGATACGTTTTCCGCCAGCTCTGGGAGCCATCAACTCTCAGAAATAGTGGGTCTATGCTTCTATCAAAGCAGCGTGTAGCCCAGAAACCTCTTTTTTTTGTTGTTTTGTTTTGTTTTGTACTAGCAAAGGCTAAATCCACCACACAGCTTAATGTGCCACTTGGAGAGGCCTCATTCCCGCCATACGGCAGCAGGTCGAGCGCGCATGCTAGGAACCCGCCAGTAGCTCAAACCGGCAGGCTGCCGCTAACTTGAAAGAGACAACTAGGAACTGTTTTAAGCTCCGTTTTAGAATCTTTTTTCTCAGGTTTTAGGTGGAAACTCTTGCCCCACGTTGGGCGCCAGATGCAGCAGGAATCTTAGAGAATCTTATTAATAAAATCAAACCTGAGCCAGGTAATGGGGTAAACACTGGAAGGTCAGAGAGACAGAACAAGCCACAGCTATCTCACCTTGCCAGTTCCTCAGTTGGTCCTGTTTCCTCAGACTGGAAGCTTCTGTGTCCTCATCCCAATGGCTCTCAGCTGAACTGCTGCTAGAAGTCCTGAACACTTAACCAGTCAAGTGCTTAACCAGGCCAAATGCTTAACCAGGCCAAATGCTGCTAGTTTCTGGTCCTCATGCCTTATAAACCTTTCTGTTTTCTACTACCACTCCCTGGGATTAAAGGCTGCTTTCTGGGATTAAAGGCATGAGTCACCATGCCTGGCTGTTTCCAATGCGGCCTTGAACTCACAGAGATCCAGAGGGATTTCTGTCTCTGGAATGCTAGGATTAAAGGCATGTGCTAACATTTTCTAGCCTAAGTATCTTGTGGCTTTTCTGTTCTCTGACCCCAGATAAGTTTATTAAGGTACACAATATTTTGGGGAACACAATACCACCACAGTTCCTCTCTAAAAACAATTGGTGAACTTGGTGGCTGTTTTGTATTCTTACAGAACTTTGAACTATTATCTGCTGGCAATCTGTAGAAGCAGAATGCCTGTGCTTTTTAAGATTTGAGGACATCATCCACAAGGCAGACAATATTAAATCCAACAGTGGACTCCCTAGTGGGCTCAGCCTAAGATCTTCCCCCTGTATACCTTTTTAGGACTCCCAGGTGCGCTCAACCTATGATCCCCCCCCCAATACCTTTTTAGCTATTTATTTATCAAGGGATGTATTGGCACTAACTCCTTAACATCTGTCACTTGACACCCTCCCCACCAGTGTGTGATCAGATCAAACCGACTGGGACAAATCTCATCCCAGCCAAGAGGGACAATTGAGACCAAACCACCAGATGGCTAATTAGAGAGGTCTTCCGAGAATATTGTTCAGATACAAGGTGGGGAGTTGTCAAAATGAAGTCATGCTGTGCACAGTGTCTCTCGCCTGTAATCTCAATACTTGGGAAACCAAAGCAAGGAAGGTTGTAAATTTGAGGCTAGCCCAAGCTAGCCAGACCCTGTTTCAAAACCAGGAACAAAAAGCACAGTTACTGTATCAGCCCCTCCAAATCTGAGTCCAGATGACAAGTCACCTGATGTGATTAACTGAGTGCCTCCTGACCTTAGCCCCTACTTGTGGCCTGTTCATATTTGCTTCAGGAATATTTTGAAAATTTCCAGACTAATTCATAGTTGTTTGGTGTCATCCTCTGTGCACAAATGTGTGCTGGAAAGTTCTCTTACTGATGAGAAGCCATGCTGACAATCAAGTGTGTGCATGACGGAAGGATGTCATCCCCATGTGGCCCAGAGTTTATAGACAGGAGTTTCTGCTAACAGTGGAGGATAACAGGAGGCAGAGGGAAGAGGGGCACTCTCGTTTGCTGTATTCTGGACACACCTGTACTTGAGTGTGTACATCTGTAGCAGGAATCTTAAAAGTTCTTATTAATAAAATCAAACCTGAGCCAGGTATTGGGGTGAACTGGAAGATCAGAGAACCAGAACAAGCCACAGCTATCTCACCTCGCTGGATCCTCAGATGGTCTTGTTTCCTCAGACTGGAGGCTTCTGAGTCCTCATCCAGAATGGGTCTCAGCTGAACTGTGCTGCTCAAAACCTAAAAGGTTAACCAGCCAAATGCTTCTAGTTTCTGGTCCTCACGCCTTATAAACCTTTCTGTTTTCTACCACCACTCCCTGGGATTAAAGGCTCGCTTTCTGGGATTAAAGGTGTGAGTCACCATGCCTGACTATTTCCAATGCAGCCTTGAACTCACAGAGATCCAGAGGGATTTCTGTCTCTGGAATGCTAGGATTAAAGGTGTGAGTGCCACCATTTTCTAGCCTTTGTATCTAGTGGCTTTTCTGTTCTCTGACCCCAGATAAGTTTATTAGGGTGCACAATATTTTGGGGAACACAATCCCACCACATACATCTGCACACACGTTATTAGTTGCTTCAAATGAACACATGGTTAATGGTGGGCAGGCCTTTTGCAGCACTCCTCACCCTCTGTCAGACTTAAAGGGGGAAGTAACGTGTTTTTCTGTAGGTGGAGGTTTTCGTCAGGACCGCCAGCTCCCAAATCACCACACAGAGACTTATTATTGATTATAAATGCTCAACCGATAGCTTATGCTTGTTACTAACTATCTCTTACAACTTAAATTAACCCATATTTCTTATCTGTGCTCTACCACGTGGCAGTACCTTTTTCCAGCATGGCATGTTCATCTTGCTTCTCTCTGGGACTCCTGGCAACTCCCCGTGACCCCACCCTTCTTCTTCCCAGCATCCTCTCAATTTGGCTCTCCTGGCTAACATCTTTTTTGCCTAGCTATCGACCAATCAGCTCTTCATTAATCCAGTCAGAAGGCGCCTTGGCAAAGACACATCTTCACAGTGTACAAAAAGATTCTTCCATAACATTTTTCTCTTACCCAAGAACCCATAAAGCAAAAGTCACAAACTCAGTTTCTGTGAAGCCAGAGTCGGAGGTGTAAGTGAATGAAGAAGACCCAGCCACAGGAACATTGCAGGAACTATGAGGCCCTCCAGATGAAGTGCTATCAGGAGGCTGCTCTGAACCTGGGGCCTTGGATAAGACACCTTGGAGACATCCCAGATAACACACTCACTCTCTTTGTGCACCAGGCACTAAGTAAAGGCCCTTTCCACAGTCGTGTCAAAGACTTCTCCCAACAGTCTTAAGAGGGGGACTATCAGCGTCTTCATCCTACAAGTGAAAAACTGCAGCTCAGAGAGGTTGAGCCACCGACCCTAGATCACACAGCTGGACTTACAGGGCTAGTTTGACTGAGAACTATACCCTTAATTAGTCTTTATACACCCCAACAATAGTACTCCACACAGGACCATTTTGCTTCCTTCAGACACTCTTACAAACTATGATAAACAGAACACACACCTATCCAGTGTGTTTTCTGACGGTAACAGCTAATTAGCCCAGCTGAAATGCAGCTAACACATTGTAAGAATTTTAGCTTTATTAGTTTTATTTTTCTGGGTTAATGAGCCTGAGTCTGGGGACTAGCCTGGAGCTCACCATCCTCCTGCCTCTGCTTCTGTTTTCCAAGTACACTGGCTACAGGCCTGAGCCACGGTGCCTGTCCTGGGGACTGTTGGAATGGTTTCTTTGAAGTATGAATGCATAGCATAAAAGTGACCTGGACTGAAGTGACCCCTCACTGCCCCATGCTCCTTGAATCCTATCCCACCTCCCACTCTCAGTCCCAGACGGCCACTGGATCTCCAGAACTTACCCTTTTTGTCATTCTGTGAAAATGAAATCCTGAGGCACGTTGTATTTGTGGCTGGAATTTTCCCTTTGGCATGGCAGTCCTGAGACCTGTTCTCAATGGAGGGGTCAATTTGCTCCTTTTAAAAATGATTTTTCTGTGGGGAAGGCTTTGCCCTGGAGAAGATGGGAATGGGGGGGGCTGGGGGGAAGGTGAGGGGGGGCGGGAGGGGGGGAGAACAAGGGAATCCGTGGCTGATATGTAGAACTGAATTGTATTGCAAAATAAAAATTAAAAAAAAGAAATTAAAAAATGATTTTTATCATTACTGGGGGGGAGGGCACATGTGCAGGTCACAGGATGGCTTTGTGGAGACAGCGGTTCTTCCTTTCCCCCTTTACCTGGGTCCCAGGGTTAGAGCTCAGACCTTCATTTTATACAGCAAATGTTTCGCCTGCTGGCCCATCTCCCCAGCCCCAGATAGTGCCCCTTTAATCCCTAATGAATGGGTTCCACTCCAGAACTGTGCCACAGTCTGTGGTTAAATTCCCCAGGCGACAGACATCTGGGTTGCCCTGTGAGAATATTTTATGTCTTCTTATTTTAGTCTTTCGTACATGTGTGTAAGACAAGTCCTTGTACGGTCAAGCCTGGCCTTGAACTCCTAATCCTTCTGTCTCAGACTCTTGAGTGCTGGAATTACAGACCTGCACTACCATGTCAGGATCACAGTTTACTTTTGTTTCTTTCTTAAATAATAAAAAACAAAAGGGTTAATTTTGGCTCAGGGTTCTGGAGGTTCAAGATAGAGGGGCCACAACTATGCCAGCAAGGCCTTCCTGTGGGCTCAGGTCCCCAGCAATGCAGAGAGTCAGGTGAGAGAGAGTGAGCTCTTGTCACATTTTAGTCTGGAACTGAAATGTGAGTCTTTGTTTCTCTTGAGATGCTACGGGAGTGGAGTTGCTGGGCAACCTGGTTTGTGTACTTTTAGCTATCTGTGAAAGTACCAAACTATTTCCCACAGTGGCTGCTTTCATGGCCACACCAACAATATAGTAGGGTCATTTAGAGGGTTTCTTCAAGTGGGTGTTAACTGCTATAGTCCCTTTCTTCTTTAAAGTGATCATGTAAGCATCAGTCTTCCAGATTTCACCCTTTCTGCTGGGAGGAAAAACAAAGGATGCATGCGCCCTCGGCATGAAACAACAACAGCCACACTTCGCAGTCTGGAAACTCAAAAATCCTGGAAAGCCCTGAAAAGATGCATTCTACAAAGGACTGGCCTGTGCTTCCTAGAGCCAGGCTGATGGATTTGGCAGGTCCCCAGCCCCGCCCACCCCGCTCCAGGAGGTGGGACTTAGCTAGGGAGGCGGGGCCTAGGGGCGGGGATGCGAGCACGCGGCTCCGATGACCCTGCCCACTCAGAGATAGGCTGCTTCTGACGAGGGCGGAGCTGGTGGGTGGGGCCCAAAGCGTGCGCTCCGCTGTAAAGCCCGCCCACCCCGCGCTCAGCTCCGCTCCGGGGGCGGGGCCTGGCGAGGGTGGGGCGGGGCCTGGCGGGGAGGTTTCACGGCCACGGCCCCGCCCACCGCGCGGTGTTGGGGCGGGTTCCCGAGTGGGCAGCACCGGAGCGGCGCTCGCGGCGCGCCATGGCTGGGCTGCTGGCACTACTTGGCCCGGCGGGAAGAGTGGGCGCCCGGCTACGGCCCCAGGCCCCTTGGCTCCTGGGAGCCGCCACCCCCTGCGCTCCACCGCTCTGGGCCTTGGCCTTGTCCCGCCCGGGGCCGGACGCCCGGCTGCTGCACACGGCCCGCAGGGACTGCCTTAGCCGCCAGGTAAGCCTCCCCACACCCACACCCACTCGGACCCTGATCCCCAAGTAACCCAAGCGCCATGCCAGGGCCAGTCCCAAGGACAGCTTTGCATTGCACCTGCCCAAAATGGGTCACCTCTGGAGTCCCTGAGTTCTCAGATCCCCAGAATCCAAAAAAAACATCTCTTTCAGTTAAGCAAACGGAGAAAATGAGGCTGAGGGTGGTGTGGTGCGCGACCCAAGGTCACGGAGTCGCCCGCCGAGCCCCAGTTTCGAAAGCCAGAACAGTGGCGTTACTGAGCGGATCGCAAGGGGCCCCGAACTCACTGTGAACTTCTAAGCCGGCCTCTGAAGTTGTCCCCTTTGAAGTTCAGGCCTGGGCACTGGGCCCAGGAGGCGGCTTCGCGGGAGCCGGTGTATCTAACTCCTTCCTCCCTGTGCCGGCTGCGCCACCCTTTTTATCTAGCTGGAGGAGCAGGCTCTCGCGGCAGGCAGTCCATCCTGTTTGTTACGGTTGCTCTCACTGAATGCTAAGAGTGAAAACTAGCTTCCATTCAGACAGCAGGGCAGCTCAAGTGGGTCTCCGAAGAAAGTAGTGGAGTGTCGAGATCAGAAGCGTTAAGTCGTGGTGGCACATGCCTGGATCCCTGCAGGAGAGGGCTTCCGGCTGCCTACTCCAGGTCTGGACCCACCCATCCGTGGGCCATGTGACCTCAGACCCGGAGCCCAGGCAGCCCGGACCTGCGTCTTACCTTTGCCACCAAGAGTCTGGAGGGTCACCACCATGAGTCAGGCAGTTCTGAGCACTGTCTGCTCTTGTAGCTTTTCAGTAAGTTGCCAAAGGGATTGGTCCCTGTCCTTGGGTGCCTCACACAAATATGGATGGACTTCCTTCCCCTCTCCTCTCCTGGGTGACAGACAGAACACTGGCCTCATCTCTAATCCTGAGTGCAGGGCAGGATGCTTAGAACATACCAACCTGCTTCCTGATGATTCTTCAGCATAGCTTCCCTCTCCTCCAGGAAGTCTTCCCTGACTGCCAGTGGTGTACCCATCCCTCCCCGGGCCCCTCCCCCACCCCCCCCTACACACACACTGTCTCTTCTCTGGAGCTCCAATCTTCTCTGCCCTTGTGATCTGGAACAGTCTTTCACCTTGTTCCAACACATCAGCCTTGTTGGCAGCCCTGACTGCCTTGACAGGTGTATGTTTACAGCAAGGATGAGTGTGGTCTCGAGCTCCTAGGATCCCTGCCTCTGCCCGGTGTCATGTCTATCCAATGGAATGTTAATAAGCCTTTTCCCAGAGGGTGAATGTGATAGGAGATAGCATGTTAGCCGGCATCTGGTACATCGTGCCACCCCCAGCAATTGCTGTCATCACTGTGAGTACACACCACAGCAGGCAGGGCCCCCTGAGCTCAGGAGCCAAGCTTGTCTCTTCTGCAGGTTGAGAGATGGGTGGAATCAGAACCTAACAGAAGGTCAGAACAAAAGACACTCCATGAGAAACCAGCTGTGGGGGATGGGCCTGCCCTGGGCCTCAATCCAGCATCCCACTCCATCTCCACCCTGGCTGCCTTCATTAGGAGGCCAGCTGGGGTCTCCACATGTTCTAGACATTAAACAAGTGTCTGAGTGGCATGCCCACCTCTGCCTACAGCAAGGACTGCATGGTGCCAGAGACAGGGAGACACACTGCACCAGAAGCCTATCTTGTCACGTCACATGGCTCAGGGTCATGTAGACCAAGTGACATGGGGTTGCAGGGGGGGGGGGCGGGGGGAATCACTCTTATGCAGGTGGCTTGCTGGCTTCCCTTACCTCATGCACAGCAGCCCTCCCCCAAGCTCCTCACTCCCTCTCCTTGCGTGTCTCAGTATGTCCCTTCCCTGGTATGTCACTGTTGGTTGTCCTCTGCTCCCTAAAGCCGTCGTCTCCTTTGAGGTTGGTCTGTTTTGCTCATTGCACTGTCCCCGGCTCTGGAACACTCTGACCCAGAGAAGCTACAGAAGGCGTAGTGCTGGGACTGGGATCGGGTTCACCACGGTGCTGTCCCTGGTTACGTATTTGTGGAGATGTTGTGAGGACTGTATGGACTAATGTTTTCATGGCACTCGGAACACTGCTCGGTACAAAGTCAGCACATGGGGGGTTAGCAAGTGAATGGAAGCGAGTGTCACAACACTGTGTAATCAACCTTCCTGCTCCTTTGAGCTATGGCTCTCCGCTGGTTGTTTTGAAACACAGTCTCGTGTACTCCAGCCAGGCTGGCCTTAACTTCTGATCCTCCTGTCCCCACCTCCAGAGGGCTGGGATTATAGACTTATACCACCGAGCTGGGTTTATACTGTGCTAGGAAATAAAAGCTTTGCATATGCTAGACACTCTACCACTGAGCTGCATCCCCACCTGAGCACTTGGAGGTAGTCAACAGTGATGCTCTATAGAGAGTGAGTATCTACAGATGCCCCATTGCTTGCAAGTCACCCATAAATCCCTCTGGTTTAGCTTCTTTAAACCCCTCAGGGACTTGGAAGAAAATCCATGGTTCTTCATGTCCTGCGAGAGTAGCCATTCTTAAGAGGAGAGACTTTCCCCGGATGTTCTGTTTCTAGAGGACAGGAAGGAAAGCTGCCACCACCTTCTTGTATTGGCCATCACTTGCCCCTCTCCCCTCCTTGAGCCCTGCACCCCCCTGCTGAAATGCTTGCAGAGGCTCTGGTTCTTTCTGATAAGTAATCCCTGCCCCCTGGGCTGCGCTGATAGGACCATCTGCAGCCCCTCCCAGTGTCTGCACCTCTGTCAGGCTAGTGTCAGTCAGAAGCCCACTGACGCCTGGCCCAGGCAATCTCAGTTATGGCCCGTTCTTCGTGCCCCAGAGCAGCCACAGCTGTCCCTGATGAGGCCCCTTTGTTCGTACCCTCAGGTTTGGCAAAAGGCCTTCTGGCCCAGAAAGGAGACTAGAAAGGCAGCCAGACTTCCAGCTAGAAAATAAACAGCCGCTTCCACAGGACTGGAGGAGCAAACATTAGAACCAGACTTTGTTTTAGAGAGGGGAGCAGGCTGAAGAGATGGTTTGATGATTAAGAGCACTGGCTGCTCTTGCAGAGGACCTAGGTTCAATTCCCAGCATCCACAGGACAGCTCACAACCATCTGTAGCTCCAGTTCCAGGGGATCTGAGGCATGCACCTGGTGCACAGGTGTACACACATGCAGGCAAACACCCATGCACATAAAATAAATAAATCTTAAAGTTAAAGAGAGGAGCCTTGGAAAGCATAATGGAGGTACTATTGGATTAGGAATTAAAGGCTACAGTGGAGGGACTCTTGGATGAGGTAGCATTTGCATTTCCATCTGACATGTGGGATGTATACACACACACACTTCACCCCTGGAGCACATCCTGAGCTAGCAGGGCCAGGACAAAGGGTCAGGTAAGCAAGGCTTTCCTTTCCAAGCTTAGTGATTACCTTCTGGTCATCTCTGGAACTGATGACAAGGCCCAGTCCCAGGCATTTTCAAAGCTGGACTCACAGGCATAGGTACAAACAGAAGGCGCTCTAGCCGCCCACTGATCAGCATCCACATACAGCAGCATTTGTGCACCTTGGTGCTGGTGAGGGACTCAGCAGGGTCATGAGCCTTATCCCACAAGTGCAAACTGAGAGCCCAGAGCTGCAGACCTGGTGGTCCCCTGCATTATGGCACAGCTGGCTGTATGGACGCAGTTGGTGGGTTTCAGGGCTGCTGCTCAGAACACGGGGCCATTTGCTTCTCATTCGGGGAGTCCTGACTCATTTCCTGGGGATCCTGGCATGCTCATCCCCCTTGCCTTTGCAGAATCACAGCTTCAAATCAGGGAGGAATCTCCCCGGCTGCAGGATCAATAACCAGAGGAAGACTCATCAATCCTTTGGTTAATAGCACTCTTGTAGAGGTGTGTTTTGTCTAATCCAAATGTGGCTGGGATCTCTGTTGTCTGTCCCAAATTTGCAGACTCAGAAGATGATCCAGTGAGTGTTAAGATCACCCCATGTGACCAACAAGACACCTGACCACCCTGAGCTCGATTCCTGGTACCTACTCTGTGGTTTACATGAGAATGTCCCCATAGGCTCAGACATTTGAACACTTGGTCTCCAGTAGGTGGCGCTGTTTGGGGCGGTGTAGCCTTTCACTGGGGATGGCCTTTGAGTGTGGTCCCGCTCCACTTCCAGTTTGTTCTCTGCTTCCTGGTGTGATCTCTCAGCTTCCTGCTCTGGCCACCGTGCTGTGCTGCCACGCTGCCAAGCCTCCCAGTCATGATGGACTCTTTTTTTTTTTTTTTTTTGGTTTTTCGAGACAGGGTTTCTCTGTGTAGCTTTGCGCCTTTCCTGGAACTCGCTTTGGAGACCAGGCTGGCCTCGAACTCACAGAGATCCGCCTGCCTCTGCCTCCCGAGTGCTGGGATTAAAGGCGTGCGCCACCACCGTCCGGCGTCATGATGGACTCTTATCCCTCTAGAACTGTAAGCCAAAGCAAACTCTTTCACAAGTTGGTTTTGATCGTGGTGTTTTACCCCAACAACAGAAAAGTAACTAATACACAGATGTAACAGTAGGTGAAGAGAATCGACTCACAAAGTTGTCTTTTAAAAAAAAAAAAAGATTGCTGCACAGCGTGGGTAATTTCTATACACATCTGGTCAGTATTTTGACCAGGAATCGGCCTTCCCTGTCCTGTGTCTGGTCTCAGTGAAGGCCCATGGCTTTTGGAGCCCATCCTGTTCCAGTCCCACTCCCCTCTTGGGGTAGTGCAGACATGGCGTTGTGTGCTCAGTCCACAGACTTGGGTGGTCTGAGCTCTCATGGGTCACTTTTGTCATTTCTGTGACCAAATTTTTGACAAAAGTCACATCAGGAAGGAAGGACTCATTTTGGGCCACACTTGGAGGAGACTGTAGTCCATCTTGGTGACGTCATGGTGGCAGGAGGGTGAGACAGTCTGTCCAATTGCATCCACAGTCAGGAAGCAGAGAGAGATCAGTGCTGATGCTTAGAGTACTTTCTTCTTCCTGTTCAGCATGGGGGACCTGTCCAGGGTATGTCCAGGGCCCTACAGGCAGGGTGGGTCTTCCTCCCTCCCTTAACCCCTGTGGATGTACACTCACAGACCTACCCAAACGTGTCTCCTAAAGTTATTCCAATCATGCATCAGCTCTGGCCTTGACAGGCTGTGCTGCTCCTATGATACTTGACACATTCGCTCCTGTGCTGGAGGTCAGAAGTCCAAACTCTGCCTCACTGAGCTAAAGTCAAGGTAACATCAGGGCCAGTTTCTTCCTGAGGTTCCAGGCCAGAATCCATTTCCTGCCTTTTACAGCTTTTAGGCCTCCTGCTCACCCCCACCCCACCCCGGCCATGCCCACATACCAGTAGGCCAGCAGAGCAGCATCTTCAGAGCTCTGACCTGCTGTCACCTCCTCCTCTCTGTAGTCAGAAGTTTTCCTGTGTCCGGCCAGGTCCTGCAGCTGCTCAGACCCAAGTAAACATACACAGGCTTATATTATTTACAAACTATGTAGTCTGTGGCAGGCCTCTTACTAGCCATTACATGCTGCTCCCTAGACGGCGGGATGGTGTCTCCTTACTCTCTATTCTTCTCTCACTATCTGTCTTGGATTTTCCTACCTGGCTCCAAACTGCCCTGCCATAGGCCAATGCAGCTTTATTTATCAACCAATCAGAGCAACTCATATTCACAGCATACAGAAAGACATCCCACAGCACCTCTTAGACTCCAACTCCTGCCCCGCCCCTTTCCCTTATAAGAATCCACCCAGAAAAATCCAAGTTAACATTCCCATCTCAAGATCCATAGCCCGATCGCATCTGCCAAGTCCTGCAGCAGGAGGTGACCTGGACATCTCTGGGGCCATTGTTCCGCTGGCCTAGCCCTGGTGTAGTGGGAGTGAGAGTGATAACTGATGTCTGAGTGGGTAGATAGAGGTACACAGTTCAGATAAGGGTAAAAACACATGGCAGCCACCAACCTAACCTACCTTTGGTCTGTGCACAGGAGCCCAGCAGAATCCCGGAGCCCGGAAGCAGTGCCAGCAGCCCAGAGAAAAAAATAAGCAGATCACAGCAGCTGAAGAAGGTTTTCCAAGAATACGGGGCTGTGGGTGTGTCGCTGCACATTGGGATCTCGCTGGTCTCCTTGGGGATATTTTACACAGTTGTTTCCAGGTACAGTTTTCAATGGTATTCGTTATGTTTGTGGCCGGATGTGGTAGCTCACACCTGTGAATGCTGGGGAGGCTAGCCTGGGCTTTAGCATGAGGCCTGTCTACAAATACTTGAAGGAAGTGCTGAGACGCAGCCCAGTTGGTAAAATACTTGTCCAGCATTCACAAAGTGCGGGGTTCCATTCCTCAAACAGCGTCAACCACACCTGAAACCCCAGCATTCAGGTGGAGGCAAGAGGGTCACAGTTCCAGGTCCTCCATCCTTGGCTACATGAGACCCTGTCTGAAAAAACATTTGTTTTGTTTTTGTACTGTGGTAAGGTAAGCTAATATGTGGGTGAATTTTGGGGTTTTTTTGTTTGTTTGTTTGTTTTTTGGTTTTTCGAGACAGGGTTTCTCTGTGTAGTTTTGCGCCTTTCCTGGAACTCGTTTTGGAGACCAGGCTGGCCTCGAACTCACAGAGATCCGCCTGCCTCTGCCTCCCGAGTGCTGAGATTAAAGGCGTGAGCCACCACCGCCCGGCTCTTGTTGTTTTTTTGTTTTGTTTTGTTTTGTTTTGTTTGCTGAAACCTACCTACTCACCCAATTCCTTATATTATATATTTTTAAAATATATATAGTTCATCTGGGTCAGCAAGATGGCTCAGCAGGTAAAAGGTGCATGCCGCGCCAGCCTGGCTACCTGAATTCCACCCAAAACCCTCAGTGGACAGAGAGAACCAACGCCTGGAAGGTGTCCTCTGACCTTTCCAGGTGTGCCATGACGTGCATTGCCCGTGCTCATACGCACAATAATCATAAGATGTTTTTTTAATAAAAAGCAAAACTACTGTTAACCTAGGCAAATCGGTCTCTTCCTTTAACCCCTGGCTGTAATGCTTTCTTTGCCTCTTTCTCCTCCAGTGGCATAGACATGTCGGCAGTCCTGCTAAAGCTTGGCTTTAAAGAGTCGCTGGTGCAATCCAAAATGGCGGCCGGCACCAGCACATTCGTGGTGGCCTATGCCATCCACAAGCTGTTTGCGCCCGTGAGGATCAGCGTCACCCTGGTCTCTGTACCCTTCATCGTTAGATACTTCCGCAGGGTGGGACTCTTTAAACCTCCAGCCACCAAGCCGTGATGAAGCCAGTCTCTTCAGAGCTACAGGATTTGGGTTGGTTTCAGGGTGGGATTTTTGGGGGCGGGGAGGAGCGCTGGGACTAATTGCTGTGTTCCTTGTGGGTGGATTTTACCTTTGCTAGCTGAAATCAGGTGTTTTAATTTACTTTTTTTTTAATGCTGTTTCTCAAGAAGCCATGTATGTGACTTAAAATGTCACCAGGGGTTCAAAATGAGTTGACAGCCAGGAGTGGTGGTGCAGGCCAGTAAAGCCAGCCACTGAGGAGGCTGAGGCAGGAGGATCTCCAATTCAAACAGTGAAGAGAGGGCTGAGGGCACTGGCAGTAGAGCCCTCGCGTGGCACACAAAGGGCCTACATTCGATCCCAGTAAAAAACGAGACTGCCTACAAAATGCTCCTTCTGGATCATTAGGCCGGAGTCCTGTCTGCAGCGCCCCACGGGGCTAACCTTTGCTCAGGTTCTTAAAAAGCAGTGGTTAATTTGCTGGCTTTAAAACTTCCCCCTTCCCTCATTGGTCACTGGCAGCAAGCTGTAGTTTATCAAGCAGTATTCTGCAGACAGCTGCCAGCCCTACAATTAATGAAGCAGAAATTAACAATCCGTAATCACAATCTACATTGACATCAAGCCCTTGGCATTCACAACACTTGCTTGGGGAAAGCAAGCCAAGAACTCCCGGGTGCTTCACTGACTCCAGAGCACCTGAGTGGCTGGCTGTGAGGGGGCTGTTTGTCAGTTCATTGATACGGGGCAGTATTGTTTGTAAAATACAGAAATGCTGCCGGTTGTAATGTTATCACTTGGCTTCTGATGCCAATATTCAGGGGTACTCAGATTCTCACATAGAAGCTAAAAGCATCCTAGCTTTCTTAGACAATTCACGTAGCTGTCTAAAACTTGAAACATTCCAGAGCTAACATGATATTTACAATGTGCCACTGTTTAAATTTTTTTTTTTTTTTTTTTTTTTTTTTTTTTTTTTTTTTTTTTGGTTTTTCGAGACAGGGTTTCTCTGAGTAGCTTTGCTCCTTTCCTGGGACTCACTTGGTAGCCCAGGCTGGCCTCGAACTCACAGAGATCCGCCTGCCTCTGCCTCCCGAGTGCTGGGATTAAAGGCGTGCGCCACCACCGCCCGGCTAAATTTTTTAACTGAATTAAATCATATGTATGAAGTACTTGTACCACTTTCAAAAAAAATGGAAAATATTGTTTGTTCTAAATGGAAGACAACCACGAAGTACTACAAGCCAAGGAGAAGAGAGGTGTCTTAATTAGGGTTCTATTGCTGTGATGAAACACCACAACCAAAAGCAATTTGGGGAGAAAAGGGTTGATTTCACTCACCGTTCTATGTAACAGTTCATCATCAAAAGCAGTGAGGGCAGGAACCTGGAGGCAGGAGCTGATGCAGAGGCCGTGGAGGGGTGCTGCTTACTGGCTTGCTCCTCATGGCTTGCTCAGCCTGCTTTTTTACAGAACTCAGGACCACCAGCCCAGGGGTGGCACCAACCACAATGGGCTGGGCCCTCCACATCAATCACTAAGAAGATTCCATAGAGACTTGCCTACAGCCCCCTCTTCTGGAGGCATTTTCTCAGTTAAGGCTCCCTCCTCTCTGATGACTCTGGCTGTGTCAGCTTCACATAGAAGTAGGCAGCACCAGAGCTGGACAGGAGGAACTAGGGTCTACCAAGCAAGGGTAGGTGTAGGGGGAGGTTGGAGTAGAAACTAAAGCAGAGGCTTCCTGGAGGAGCAGCTGGAGCAGGGATTGGCTCCATCACTCAAGCCTCCCCTCTGGACAGGCTACCATGGGGCGCTTGTTATGTCAGACCCAAAGGAAGCTCCAATTCCCCAAACCCCACGACAGTCCAAATATCCAGAAGTGGGTTCAACCTGGACTACAGGATTTCTGGTGGTTAGATAAAAGCCAACATTCCTTAGGAACTTGTGAAACCGGTTCCCCTCTACCAAAAGGAGACATTTCCCTTACCTCTCACAGAGGGACCTATGGCTGCCTTTGGCGCCTATCAGCATATTAAAGCTCATGCTGGTATCCAGTTACCTGATACACATTTCTAAGTCCTTGCTAGCACCCAAGCCCTTACCTCCTCCTCCACCCTAAACTGTCTGGGGCTCACAGGCTTCCCTTCCACCAGCTACTCTTCTTTGTGGCTTAGTGGCTGCTCTCACTATTCTTGGCTCCTGCTACTCTGTGTTCTATTTTCTCCCCTGCCATTCTTCCCTCTCACAGGTAGCCCTGGTCATATCCAGTCTGCTGGCCATGTTCAGTCTACTTCTCTTTGCTCTGGACTCCTCCAGATGCCTCTGGCTGATCTCTCTCATATCTACAATAAAAACCTTCCCCTTACTTACCATGTCAGTTTATACAGTTCTACCCTGGGGAGCCAGTGTTTGAACTTGGAAGTCTGCACAGCTGCATGGTGGGAAGGATTGCATTCATTTTTCTTGCTCACAATTCCTTTTAAGTGACTTTGACAATCAGAAAACAAAAGAAAGCACTGCTAACCAGCAGAAATGCATTTTACAGAGATCTGGCTGACAATTTCTTAGCCCACAGTTACCCACATCATTTGTCTCAGTTAACATTTAAAAGAATTTTTGAGACAGATTCTCCATTCTTGAGATCTTTAAAGTGGGATAGCGTTGTTTTCCTCTTAATGCAGCCCACAGCTAGAAGCTTTTACTGACTTAAATGCCCTGTGTAGATCCCCACCCATCCTAGTCTCCCATTCAGGTCCCTAAATAACACCTATGCAAAGAAACACATTGAAAGTAGCAATAAAACTAACCGTCCCCACAGCATGTGTCTTCCAAGCCAAACTCCACTCAACGCCTGTACCCAGCAGCCAGAACCAGGGATGAGCTGAGGGACTAAAGCACCATTATCAACCTACCAGCAAGACAAGCTGATCTGCTCCTGTGTTATCTTTCGTGGAACTGGAGCAGGGAAACTATTTTAAAATGTAAGCCATTGTTTGCCTCTAGTTTTCTAAGGAGACCAAATGAACAGCTTAGATTCTGTGAAACAAATAAAAAACCTTTGTAAAATGATGTGTTTTGTCATCTGGAAAGCCGTCGCTGCTGCTGTCCATCAGGAACAGCACCGTGGGAGCGTGGCAGCAGTCTGCTATTCACATGAGCTGCAGACGGCAGTGTCCTACACTCAGGTTGGATCCCTGTAGTCACATCACAGTTAACTGCAGCTTGGGTGGACAGTACTTGGAATGTTGCTATTTCAACAAGCCAGTTAGTTTAGCACAGGACTGGGGACCAAAAGCTTATTTATCCCACGGGGACAGCCTCTGCAGTTCCACTCAGGCATGCTCTGAAGTGTAAGGATGATCCAGTTGACATGTCATTTTATTTATACTGGCCACTTGCATTTCCAGTCATCTGACATCTAGTGTCCTGAGTTGGCTGTGAAAGCCTGTTTCTCTAATTCCAAGTCACCTCTGGGTGATGGACAGACAACACTGGCCGCTACAAGCTTAACATGTTAGGAGCATATCCTAGAGACCAGAAAAGCACACCTGCTCACTCTAGCCAACAGTGAACAGGTGACCAAATGATTACCCATGTACTCCAGGTAGATTACACATACACTTATATATATTTAACAAGTTTGCATACATGACAGAACTCCAACATAAGAGCCTGTAACATCTAGAAACACCTGAGTCAAGTCCAAGGCAGGCGAAGTGCTCCATTGTGGTGGTCGAGGATCCGAATCCCATACAGGCTTAAGAAGGCTGAAGACGGGTATTCTGAAGGGGATCCACTTAAGAAGGAAGTCTATACAAATCTTTATTTTAACATTTAAAACTACATACTCATTCCAACAGCTTTCCCAGGCCCGGCGACCCAATAAGTTACACACACACTCAGGCACTTGAAGGCTACAGACACAGGTGATCGCTGGGGAGGCTGGCAGACTGGTAACTTTCCCACAGTGAGACCCCCACAAGGACACCTTGGGGGCAGAGGCCGTGGGGAAAGCTGCAGTGGAACCTTCCCTCCAGGTTACTAAACCAGGAAAAGCAGCATGGTTCTTGGGGCTTGGGCAATGTCACATGTGCTCAGGTGGGGCTTCCTGGATGCAAGGCCAAGGACTGCCTGCTCAGCAAGGGTTACTGAGGGCAGTGGTGATGGTCCGGGAGGTCTCGATGGGGCACTCCTCACAGTTGCGCAGTGGCCATGGCCCCCGATTCCCTAAGACGATTTGCTAGTTAGCTCTTTCGTTTTTTGGCCAGTTGAAGGTTTTGCGGAATTAGCTGTGATCCAGGGGTGCTCAAGGACTTCTGCCAGTGTGAGCCTCTGGCTTGAGTTATGCTTTAACAGTCTTGAAATGAGGTCCCTGGCTCCCTCAGTCACAAAGTCGGGGAATGTGAATTCAACCTGGAAAATAAATGACAAAACCATAGACATGGGTCAGAGGTGTACGTGAATATACACCGGCCCTCGGCAGGAACTGAGCAGCAGCACCTTACCCGTGAAATCCTTCTGTAGGTCTCCTGGTGAGTGTGTGCCTCAAAAGGAGGCATCCCAACTAGGAACTCGTAGCAGAGGACACCCAGGCTCCAGAGGTCCACCTTCTCATCATGCATCCGGCCTTCAATCATCTCGGGGGGCAGGTAGTCCAGAGTGCCACACAGCGTGGTTCTCCTGGAATCGATGGAGGCTGGGGTTGACACACTCTGACATCCATGTGACATGAGCACTCCCCACGCCGGGGCGGTGCCGTCAGACACGTGCTCACCTACATCCCCACTCTGGATGGATGGAGGGGAGTGTGCAAGGTCACACTAGCCATCACACTTCCCCAGACCAACTCTTAGAAAATCTAGAGAAAACAGTGCCCTCCTCTCATCCCAGTCACACTATCAGGACAGTGAATTCTGAAGGCCAGTCTGGGCTTTGAAGCAAGACGCCATCTCAGAAAACAGCGTTGCTCTGCAGTGTTCCCTGGAAATACTATGTGGAGTCCCACAGGAGCTCTCAGAGAAGTGTCACTACCATTTTAGGCTGGGAGTAAGTACTGGTGCACATTTGTAATTCCAACATCTGGTAGGATGAGGCAGGGGGACTTAGAGAGGTTCAAGGCCAACCTTGATTGTTTCAGTGAAGGGGGGATAGGAAGGTAAGGGTCTACAAGACGAAAGAGGCAGCCACATACTGCAGGGAACTGCACCGGGCTCTTTAACACTTTGGCTGGTTTGGGGTTTAAAGATTTCATTTTTATTTTACATGTGTTTTGCCTGCATGTCTGCACATGAACGTTTTGTGTCCAAGGAGGCCAGGAAAGTGCACCACATCTCCTAGAACTGGAGTTACAGCTGTGAGCCACCATATGGGTACTGGGAACAGAAACTGGGTCCTCTGCAAGGGTAGCCAGTGCTCTTCACAGCTGAGCCACATCTCCAGCCCCCCAACCCCCCGCCCCGATTATTTTTGAAAAGCGTCTTGTAGCCCAGACTGGCCTCCAAGGAGCTATCACCCTGGTCTCAGCCTTCTAGCTGCTGCTGGGTTTATAGGTATGTGCCACCACACCTGCCTAAGCTCTCTTGTTTTTAAGACGGTCTTAGCAGGCTGGTCTCAAACTTGAGACCCTCCTCTCAGTTCCTGGGATTAAAGTATGTACCAGCACACTGGGCTTGGTTAGATTTCTCTCTCACACCTTCCGAAATATGAGTGTGGACTAAAAAGGAGCTACTAAGAATTCAGCTAACCTTTTTGGCAGTCACAATGGAGGTGACTGAACAGAGCGCCTCTATCTTAGGGAGTGCACACTGAGGCACTGGGATGCTACGACTGACTGTAAATATCCACAAAGCCAATCCCAGTGTGCAGGGCTCTGGAATGGAGCCGTGGACCACTGTCCTGCCATCAGCAGCTCAGCATCTTCTATCCATTTGGGTTTTGAAAACCAAAGCTGGAATAAGCCGGGAGCAGACAGTGGAGGCTACTGTTGCTAAGATGGTTCAGGCATACTCAGCCATGTCTGGTGCCCCAACAAGCACTCCGTGGGGTTCTCTGAAGATGATCCCCAATACCAGGCAACTATGATGGGGACTGATTTTGAAAGGCAGTTGGAGCAACTGTCAAGATTCACACACGCCTTTAATTCCCAGCACTCGGGAGGCAGAGCCAGGCGGATCTCTGTGAGTTCGAGGCCAGCCTGGGCTACCAAGTGAGTTCCAGGAAAGGCGCAAAGCTACACAGAGAAACCCTGTCTCGAAAAACCAAAAAAAAAAAAAAACAACAAAAAATATTCACACGCATTCTCTCTCCTAAAACCCACAAGCTGTCTCCATCCTGATGTCATCACTGGACAGGTCATAGTCCAGGCTAATCTAATCATACAACCCCATGACACCTACAGCTCTCTGGTGTTTGTTTCAGTGGGTAGCAGGAGCACCCACTGATGTCATCAGTTCAAAAAACCTACCACAGTGCAGCCTGAGACAAACAGAGGTGACCTTAAACTGCTCCACTTTTAAAAACAGGCTGAAATTGTTTAAAATTACACTTATTTACATGTTTGTGTATGCACACCGTTGTGAAAGAGCATACCACAGAGTGAGCTTGGAGGACAATTTGGTCAGAGTCGGTTCTCTCCTTCCACCAAATGGTGCCAGGATTGAACTCAGATAGTCAGCCTCAGAAACAAGCACCTTTACCTGCTGAGCTTTCTCCTCCAGCCTCTTAACAGGCTTTTAAAAAGCAGCATTTGGTAATATTTTAAAAAGCAGTTCCCAAAGGTGGCAGAGACCTTGCTTGTCAGCAGGAGTATGCTTTACAACAAACACCCCATTCACATGGACAACAAAGCAGTTGAAACCCAATTTCAATTTGTAGAGTTTGCCTACTTTTCAATTGGTGCAATAGATGGCGCCTCTGCATCATCTTTAGCAGAGACAGTAAAGGTCTGCTCCTGCTGTTCACACACGCAGGAGTCGGGCATCCTCAGAGCTGCACACACACCACGTGGCTTCAAAGTTCCAAACAACTGGCACTTGGCTCTGCTCTCCACCCAAGCCAAGGCCCTCCGGAGCACATCTTGTGTATTGACCATACATCAGCCATACCTCTAAGTTCATCACCCTCTCCCATTAGCCTCTAGGGACAGTCAGCATCTGTAAGTCAAGGCCTAGAGTGCAGAGCCCAAAATGGTCACAGAAAAAAACTATCAGGTCTACATTGCTCCAAAATACTCCTAGGTCAGCCAAGACCCCTTATTTCTTCAGCGTGACTAGCCTTTAGTTAACAGTCCCCGCCCCCACCTCGTCCAAGGTTCTGCTAACTGCTTCCACCTCTGTAACCCCATACCTGGAAGACGGAGCGTGCACAGACCACCCGAAGTCTGCGATCTTCAGCTCTCCATTTGGCCCAAGAAGCAGGTTTTCTGGCTTAATGTCTCTGTGGATGACTCTCTTTGAATGACAGTACGACAGAGCGTTGGCCAACTCAGTGATGTACTATTGGGGAAAAGCATTGAAACCCGGGTAAGGATTTGGGAAGCAGTCAGGGAACTGTGAAAGCTGATCCAATGGAGACAGACCAACACGGTTTTCACCTTTTGAAGCAAACACTGTAGAAAAAGGGGTAAGTCTATAAACACAACTGTAGACTGCTAGACTCACTAGGGGCTCAGTTAACACTAAGCTAATACCAGTGATGTGACCTTGTAAGGCAGGGAAGGCACTGGCTTTAAGCTGGAATTACAGTCCCACCAGGCACCCGAGGAAGAACTGCACCATTAGCAATCTTTAAACACCTAAAGGGCCCTGACCAGGTGCACAGACGTGGGAGGAGGAATCCCGCAGTCTGCTTTGCATCCCGTAACTGGACTCAAGATAAATATGTTAAGTTTTAGTCAACATCAAAGTGTGTAAGCAAAGAAGGGAAGGCGAGGCAGAAGTCAGTCCTTTTCGACTCCACCCCACTTAAGTCCTGGTTTTTGAAAGAGCTGGGCTTTATTTCAGCGGTAGCTACTTACTCAGCTTGTATGAGACACCTCGGTTAGTCATCTCAGGACAGAGCTGAGGGTGGCACAGTGTGTCCCACTGTGTCAAGTGCATATGTAGTTGGCAAAAAACTTAGTTTTCCCAAATGGAAAGTAAGGCAGGAAAAATACGTCATTGTCAAATAAGACAATTCTTTTGTAGTCCACGGTAGAGCAGAACTTCGGACCCTCATGAAGCTGGCCCTCACTGCACACTGACAGGCAGAGGCCACAGCGGGCTTCACTGCTCGAGCCATTAGCAGCAGGCGTGAGGGTTAGCCTGTGCTCCCTGGCACCACTTCCCCCAGCCCTCCCAGGCTGTGGGACCGGGGCTAACCCCCTTACACCGCTCTACAGTGACTTAAATTACAGGAAAAGTAAACAGGTGGGGGTGCTACTTTAAGTAACAAGGAATCTAGAAAGAAACACTGACTTACATCCAAATGCACACACTTGGACTGAAGCCTTAAATGAGAAGTGTAAATGTGTGGACGACATTTATGTACAAATACGGGGTCTGAAGTAGGATAACATCAGAAACCGGTGGACAATTTCCTTATTTACCTTTGAAGAGAAAGTTGGCCAAACAGGTGATTTATTTTTATTTGTTTTGTTTCTCTGTAGCCCTGGCTGTCCTGGAACTCATTCTGTAGACCAAGCTGGCCTTGAACTCACAGAGATACACCTGCCTCTGCCTCCCAAGTGCTGGGATTAAAGGTGTGCGCCACCACCGCCTGGCTAATGATTTCTTATTAATGGCTAATTAAAGAAAATGATTAGTGGAGGTTGCTGTAAAAATCAGGTAGGCATGTTGGCAGTCTGTAATTCCAGCATGAGAGAAGCAGACAAGACGCAGAAGAAACACTGCTGTGCTTTAAGGGAGGCGAGACCACACTGCCTTGAGAAAGGGTGGGAAGGGGTGGGAAGGGGTGGAAAGGAGGGAAACGCTCAGACTGGGAGGAAACAGCAGCAGGACACACAATAAAGGAGACAAAGGAACCAAAACACAGTAGGGGGAAAAGCACCATTAAAACAGCAAAAGAAATACAGGCATCTAATGAGATATATAAACCACAGCCAGTGTCATCTAACACTGGGAAACTACAGATGAACAGGAAGAGACCACTACACCCTATCAGAACCACTGATGTCCAAAACCCTGACAGCAAATGCCAGAGGAGGAGGGAGGCTGGTCTTCAGTGACAGAACTGCCACCAACTGACCCAAGCAGAGCATGTAGCATGTCATACACATGTACTGGACCACATAACTAATAAGGAGGCGGAGGATGCTGCTCTCACCGCTGGGGTGCAGCGTACAGTGCAGCCCAGGGACAGGGATGTCCATAATGGTCCACACATAATAATGAGCTGAAGCATCAGTCTAGCTCGCTACATCAGGGCGATGAGCACTGATCACTAAACATCAACAGCTCAGCAGCAAGAGTTCCCGCCCTTGGGTTTCCAGTAACATTCGCCAACAGAGAAGCCAAGATCCTTACGGAAGGAATGGCTGCTTCTAGGGGCAGGCCCAGAAGTAAAGAAAAGGCCAAGCACGCTGCACCAGACAGAAAGCACATACAGCCAACAGCTCCACAATGGCAGTTTACATAGGAACCAGGAAGAGCTCCTGGCAGCCAATGCTGGAACAACAGAATAGAGTAGCACTGGACAAACATAAAACACGTCCTCTGCATTCTATATGAAAGACAGGAGAGATAGCTACCCTTCTAGAGGACCCGGGCTCGGTTCCCAGCACCCACACGAGTGTTCACAACTATCTGAAACTCCAGCTCCCTCTTCTGGCCTCTGTGCATGTGGTACATAGAAAAGCATGCAGGGAAAATATTCACATACATGGAATAAACTAATAGGACAGGAAAAGCAACCTCCTGGCCCAGACTCTCACTGACTTCGCAGTAGAAGCAAAGGACAAAGAAGCCCAGGCTCAGGACACTAAGCTTACCACCCAGCAAGCAGTCATGCACATTACACCTGCACAAGGGTGACATGTGACAAGAGTGCCCTTGGAACCAAGACCTTCCTTCCTCAGTGCCCACGGCCCTTTCTAATCACAAGGAAAACGAGTGCACTCTGGAGAAAAGTGTGGACTTTATTGCTCTAGTAGACAAAAGTGTATTAACTAAGTTGTTGTCAATAATTGAGAAATAAGGTGTGGGGCAAACAGGAACTATGTCATTGTTATTTTTGTATCTAGAGCTACACTAAAATAAACCCTGTGGTAGTGTGAATGTAGTTGTCCCCCATAAGCTCATAGGGAGAGGCACTACTAGGTGTGGCTTTGCTGGAGGAAGTGTGTCACTGTGGGGGCGACTTGGAGGTTCCTATGCTCAAGATACTGCTCCAGCACCATGTCTGCCTGCACTCTGCCATGTCCCACCATGATAATATAATGGACTAAACTTCTGAGCTGTAAGCTACCCCAATTAAATGTTTTCCTTTATAAAAGTTACAGTGGCCATGGTGCCTCTTTACAGCAATAGAAACCCAAGTAAGACAAACACACACACACACACACAAAACCCACAAGCCAACCACTCTATATATGAGGTAGAAGCAGCCTTGATTTTTTTCAAATATTCGATCCTATTAAGCCCTTTCTATAAAGACAGAGTCAACTCCTCCATAAAGAAAGGGACCTCAGGAAGACAAGGAAGAGAGAAGAACGAGCCTGGACAGTGAGGCACTTACTGTAGCTGTTCTCTGCTCGTCAAACTTGGAGAGTTTCTGGAGCTCTCTATAGACTGTTCCAAGGGGCGCGTATTCTAGAATTAGATAAACTCTGGTGGCATCATGGAAATATCCATACAGCCTGAGGATGTTGGGGTGCCTGCAACAAAGAAGGGAGACGGTGACACCAGGCTTCAGAGCCCACTCAGGATGTACTCAATGCTGACCCTGAGGAAATACACCCAGTAGGGCGTCTCAGAGCACACATGAGATCTGAACGCTGAGCCCACCCAAGAAAACAGGACTTCACTCGTATGCACACATGGACTGCAAAGCACAAACAGGTCTGGGTTGAGTTCACACGGCTCCCTTTTAGAGATCTTTGTTCTTAGTGGGATTGTCAGCTGAATCTCTCCATGTTGAGGAGAAAGTGCCTGTGCACAGGAGTGGGATGTGCCAACAGGAGACACAACCAAGACGATGGGCAGCAGAGGGCAGGTGCCAAGTGGCTGGGAACAGCCTCCCAGAGGTGACAGCACCACTCACAGCCCCCAGCCCCCACTCTGCCAGGTGACAGCAGAGCTTCAGGACTGGGATCTGAGTCAAACTTGGAAAACACTGAAAACAAAAAGGAAAAACAACAAAACACACCGACTCAACCAGGGTCTTCCCCCAACGCTCCTCCTGAGGAAAGAAATCCCAGGAAAACTCCCTGAGGGATGTTTCCTCAGGCCACATCCCCTGCATCTGTGGGAAATGGCGGCTTTCATCATTCCCTGTGGCGGGAGTCACTCTGGTCCCCCAGCTCTGGTGACAGGAGGACCACTCACCGCAGGTGGGACTGGATCTCCACTTCTCTCCGAAGCTGGTGCTCCACCCCTGCCTTCTCCAGCTGGGTTTTAAACAGCACCTTCAGGGCCAGGATGAACTTGCTTTGCTTCTCTCTTGCCAAATAGACATTTCCAAACTTGCCTTTACCTAGCGGGCGGCCAATGTCAAAGTCCTCCAGAGTCCACTGCCTTCTAGAAAGTAATGTGAATATTTAAGATATGAAAAAATCTCTACCGTTTGCCCATGAGCAGTCAACCTGTTCATGCTCAGACTATATCCAATAGGTACATTCAACATGCACCAACCCCAAACCACCAGAATGAGCCACGAAGGCCAACTTCCCCAGCCCAAAGCAGCACTGCACTCCAGAACAGACAGACTGACAACCCTTACCACCACAGGACAGCTACAGTACTGGCAGCACACCCTTTCAGGACCGTGTGGGGACCTCCTCCCTGCACAGCCCCAGAGAAGCCAAAAGGCTGTTGGGGAGAGCCACTGTCACTGGTGAAGCAGGACAGACCCAACAAGCCATTCCCAATGTCTTCGCAAACTGTATATTAGCTCAGTAAGCTGGATAGTCTTCGGGTCTGTGTTGTATGTACATTGACATGGGATTTTTTTTATTTACTACTTTTTAAATAATAAAGTTTTAATAACATTTTCCATGAAAAAATTAAATAAAGAAGTAAAAATAACTTTTGATCCCCTAGTAAATTTGACTTTAATGGGGATGGTGTTAAGCATGGTGGCCTGCAGCCAGATGGATATTCTGGTAGAAGAGGAAGAAAGCTTACTTTTTTGAGTCTTCAGTTTTCTGTTTTGATGCCTGTTCCTTTTCAGAATTATTTCCTATATGAAATAAGTTAAAATACTGTTTTTAGAGCAACTATATGAAGTTTTTTAAAAAAAAATCTGTGAACAGAGATAAATCAAAGAATAGTCACATAGCTGGGCATGGTGGCGCACACCTTCAATCCCAGCATCCGGGAGGCAAAGGCAGGCGGATCGCTGTGAGTTTGAGGCCAGCCTGGTCTACAGAGTGAGTTCCAGGGCAGCTATGGCTACACAGAAAAACCCTGTCTCAAACAAAACAAACAAACAACAAAAATCCATCACCAAAATACTAGAGGTGCATCAAGCTTCATAAACCCAGGCTTTTCATTTTCTTCCCCGGGAAGATGACTAAATCAGAAACCATACATAGCCTGTAACCTGCTTCCTGCCACATGGAGCCTCATAACTTCTAGGAAATATGAGCAGGCCCTCCTCCAACAAAACCATGAATGTCTCACCCTGGAGCCTTTTCCCCAGGAAGAGCTTCCAGAGAGAAATCAGCAGCACCCCCATCCACAAGCTGCCACGGCTACCTTCTCCACCTGCAGAGTGGGCAGCGGACATCCATGTGCTGCTGTGTACTAATTATTAACATCAGAAGAGAACACAAGCCAGTCACCCTCCTTCCAAAGACACATAAAACAAAGAAGCCACTAGCTCAGGAAGATGTGACAGCAGCACACCTAGGGACTATGGGTGCTACTTCAAGAGCTGCACACGTGTGGGACATGTCCCTGTCACCTGAGACTCAAAGAGCACAGTGGCTCCACTCAGGTTATATGAATACAGGTCCAAACTAATTTTTCCTTTCATATTCTCAACTCATGTCTTCAATATCACCACTGAGTGGGCTGAGGACCATGACCCCAAAATATGACTCAGAACCAGAAGCCACCTAAAGTACACTTTAGCCTGTCCTATCCTGCTGATTGGGAACTGCAGACCTGGGGGAGCCCTGAAGACCCAGGTGCATTTCTAAAGGACATCAGGACAGACAGCGAAGGGACACAGTGGGCCAGCTAAGAGGCTGATTTGCAGGGCAGCATAGGCTTCCTTCACCCTCATCCTCCTCTGCCCCCACAGCTTGCTGCTGCCTCTCTCCCTCTACTGGAGGACCCAGGCACCCTCCCTTGCTGGAGTTCAGGATGCCACATACATAAGCTTCAGCCCCCTGGCCCTTCCGCAGTCACCCTCCCAGGGCCTGGCATATATGCACATAACGTAAGTGGGTTTCCTCCAGACTCTCTGTCTGACATTGGCTTATTTTACAGACTCTTCTATCTCCTTATGAGTCCAGCCTAAGTTTTCTCTCTTCCTACACCATTACAGTTACCTCTTCCCACTCATCTTCCAGGTCTTATCACCCAGCTGTCTTGCATATCTGCTTCCTAAATGAAGTGGCAAATTCCCCACACCTCTCCTTTCTGAAGATGTCTTAGGAGAAGGTGACTGCCAAGTTTTAGCCCCTTCTGTGTAAGTGTGTCAATAACTGGCTGTCTACATGAAGTGGCTGCAAGGGTTGAGGGGATGCAGATCAAGGCTATCTCAGAGTCTGCAAGCATTCACAGGCTGCTAAATAATCATCAACATTAACCCTACTCTAGACACTGCCGTCTGAGTTCAGCCTCCCTCTCAGGAGAGCCCCAGAACCAGCAGCAGCCCCTCCCTTGCATCCAAAGAACCTCCAGTAGCTTCCCCTTGGCAGGGCCAGCAATTACATCTGTGCTCATCCCGTCTTCTCTTCATCCTCAACAGACACGGTATAGAAGCTAGGGCTTCAGAGGACAAATGCCAATCCATGCCTTTGCTTTTTGAGCAACAGCTGAAAAGAATGACCATCCAATGCAATGAAAAGGCTGGCTTACCAGAGGCTGTGGGCTGCGGCTGCTCACTCTTCTGGGGGTTACTGAGCCGGGACACAGGTCGAGGAACACTGGCAGCTGGCAACTGCTTTGGCACTGGCTTCTGACCTGAGACAAGTTTCTGTGCTTGTGAAGGGACACGGAGGGAGGAGTTGGAAGGACACAGGACCCGCTGGGCCTGGCCACTGCCAGGCAATCCTAGGTTCTGAGAAGGAATCTGCTCTGTCACCAAGACTCGTTTCGGACCGAAGGGAACTGTGGTCTAGGATCGAGAGAAAGCAGATGTTATTGCTGATGGTATCCTGAGAACGCAACCAAGTTTCCTTGTAAATCTAACAAAACTCATAAATACTGTAGATAATAAATGGAAATGGGGGCAGAGAGATGACTGAGCAGTTCAGAGCACTGGCTGCCCTTTCAGAGGACCTGGGTTCGGTTCCCAGCACCCATGTGGTGGCTCACAACCATCTGTAACTCCAGATCTAGGGGACCTGATGCCTTCTTCTGGCCTCATGTGTCAGCCACACACGGTACACAGACATACATGCAGGCAAGTATTTATTCACACAAAATATAAACAAGTAGACCTTCTAAAAAGAATAAAGTAAAAAGGAGGGGAGATGAAGCTATTTTAATGTGCCTGTGACTAAAGGGAGGATGCTTCCCATTGTCACCCCAAAATCCTGCGCTATTAACCACTCGTGAACTAAGCCTCCATCCAATGATGAGACACTGACCTCTGTAAAGTCCTGGCACACAACTGTAATCCCAGTACTGGGGAGGCTGAGGGAGGAGCAGCACTGAGTTCTAGGCCAGCCTTGGCACAACTGTTACCAAAACTTTCTATCAAAACCTTGTAATGATTTTATGTTTAGTACTTATTCGACAGGGTTTCACTATGTAATTCTGGCCAGCCCGGGACTATAGAGAACAGATTAGCCTCTGTCTCAGCCTGCCTATCTCTGCCTCCCAAGTACTGGGATTAAAGGCGTGCCCACCGCACCCTACCCAACAAAAATACTTTTTAAGAATGTAATCTCAGCTGGGCGGTGGTGGTGCACGCCTTTAATCCCAGCCAGGCGGATCTCTAAGTTTGATCTACAAACCTACTACAGAGTGAAATCCAGGACAGGCACCAAAACGACACAGATAAGCCCCATCTGGGAGGGGGGGAGAGGAGTAATCTCTGCCCAGGGGTTAGGGGAGGTTAATGGTACATGCCTTTAGACAGAGCACTAGGGAGGCAGAGGCAGGAGGATCTGAACTCAAGGCCATCTTGGTCTAAAAAGCAAGTTCCAGAACAGCCAAGGCTGTTACACAAAGAAACCCTGTCTTGAAAAAAAAAATGTAATCTCCAAAACTAAAATGCATAAGAGATTATTAAGAAATTAAGTTTTCATTAGGAGACAGGGGGGACTTTGACAAAGAAGAAACAAGTGTAGGCTCCTGGGAGAGCGATCGTTACCACGCTGCATTACTTGTAAGTAACGGGTCAGAGTCTTACACAGCTCTCAAGACCCACGCCAAGCACTCACTCAGGATCCACCACTCACTCGGAGGGTAGGAGTTTCAAGTGCAAAGTCATCTCCTGCAGAAATGGAGGCTCACCGCCCGGGAGGCCTCCAGGCAGGGCCAGGAAGGAACCTAAAGTTTCCACCCAAAGCAAGGGTGGGAAGAATCCCAATAGCAGAACAATTTCCACAAGGGCTGTGCCCATGGCTCAGTGGATAAGGGCTCTTGCAGGCAAGTGTGACAACCTGAGTTATATTCCCTGACCCACATGGTAAAGAGAACCCACTCCGGCAAGCTGCCCTCTGACCTACACTGTGGCACATGCATGGGTGCACACAAACCAAATGCATTTCATTTCAAAATTAAATACAATCGTGATTACAGGTAACTGTTTACCTTAACAGGCCTGGAAACACAGTTTTCTTTACATCTGTCCATGTCACCTGAAGAGAGAAACAGAGCCTTTCATTTAAAGGAAGCCACCTGCTTTAAAGTGCTGGGCAAGCTATAACGTGTGCACCTCATACTTTTCTTGGTACCAGTGAAGAAGCTGACAAGAGGTCAATGTTTTACCTGATATGCACCCTGCACATGCGTGAGATCCCTCCCACTGAATCACTGCAGCTCATCACATCCTCTCTCATTCCCTTCCCTCCCCGGCATGTTCTTTCTGCTTTAATACATAAAGTCCACCACACAGCCTGCTTGGAATGCCTCCTACCTTAAAAAGCCCGATTAGCCCCACCGTTGCCTCAGGCCATGATCCCATCTCTCATCTCCCCAGAACAGCAAAGCTTACCCACTCTTCTCCTCCCCCCAAGCCCAATCCCATTGGGCCCTTTGAATCCCACTGCGTTGCCAGTCTCTCAGCTTCCCCTACCACGGCAAACCCAGCACTTACTTGATTCCTGGGGAAAAGGTATTGGCCAATCACCACTTTTGCCCCCTTCCCCGGTTTATCTATTACCTGGCTAGTTGTCACTTCCTACCCTCCTGGCTTGGCCTCTTTTTTCCCCAAACCAAGTCCTCCGCCTTCTCCTCTACATCAAATGACCCTCACAGATCCCATTCAGCTCAAAGATTTACAACTTCAAGTAAGAAAAGTGCTCATGTCACAGTAGCAGGCTCGGGTCCCCTTTTCAGATATACGGTTGCTGTCAAGGGACAAACAACTGAGCGTGTTACTGAAGAGCCCATGATGCACAAACGAGGGAGGCCAGGCAGGAGAAGAAGCATTAAGTGAAGGACCGGAGCTGTATCCCCCTCACCAGATGCCTGTTAGGAAATGGAGCTCCCAGGCCCTGATGCCAGCTTTAATAAATGACCCTCCATTTTAACTTCCCCATGATTAGCTGCACCAGGGGATCTCTAAGACATTCCTCTTTCCTACACCTGCAGTGAAGCCAGGATTTTGCTGGTTTGGTTTTGGTTTTTTGCGGCAGTGTAATCCTGTTGGTCTGCAACTCACTATGTAGACCAGGCTGGCCTTGAACTCAGGAGTTCCTTCTACATCTGCTCCCAAGTTCTGGGTGTAAAGGAATTTGGGACCATACGCACGCAGCCTTATGTTTGTTTTTGAGACAGGGTTTTACGTAGCCCAGGCTAGCCTTGAACATGCTATAATGGAGGATTACTTTGAACTTCTGATCCTCCTGCCTCTACTTCCCCAATGCTGGAATTACAAGCATGGTCACCATGCCCAGTGCATGAAGAGCTAAGAATCAAATCCAGGGCATGGTAGGCAAGCACTCCACTAACCAAACTACATTCACAGGCCCCACTTTTGAGAAAGGCTCGCTCACATTGTATATGAGGCTGGGTTCAAACTCAAGGCTAACCTCCTGCCTCAGACTGCTGATGTGAGCAACTACATTTGGTATATTGGGAGGTGATTTTTTGTTTTGACTATTTTTGAGTCAGGGTCACATGCAGTTCAGGCCAGCTTCGGATCTACTAAGTACTGAGAATGGCTTCTAACTTCTGATCCACCTGCCTCCACCTCCTCACTACTGGGATTTAAAGGAGGGGGATGGGGGTAGAACCCAGGGCTTCTGGGATAACCTACAAACTGAGCTTTAGCGGGTCTACGCTTTGAAGCAGACCCTCAAGTAGTCCCTACATCAACTACTCAAAAGACTGCAGTGAGGGCAGCACCAGTCCTGGGCGTCTCTCTCTCTACAAGGGGACTCTCGTTCATCGACTGACTCGTCGATCCAACCCAGACCCCCGCCTCTCCACCCGAAGCAATCCCCACTAAGCCGCAGTTGCGTCATCCATAACACCACCATCAGTTTGCAAATTATTTGGTTAGCTGGTGGTCTGGGTCCCATTCCCACCAGAACCCAAACGCAAGGAGGGAAGGGGCCATCTGGATCTTTCTTACACCGAATGCAAACCCATTGAGTCAGCCCACTACCCCAATGCCACTCAACATTCCCCTTCGGTTTGCAGCATCCAGGCTCGCCCTCGCCCACCCGGTCCCCTTCTACCCACCGGCAGGATCCTGCCCCTGACCGAAGCCTCCAAGCGATCCCGGGAGCTCAGCCGTTACAATTCAAAGGTCCTCCTTTTAAAATAGGAGTTAAACCCTCTCGTCCGAAAGCTGATTGGCTAGAGACGAAGCGACGCTGTCTTGTGATTGGCTCACCGTGAACGCGACCACAGGAAGCTCGGTCCGTGCCGTAGCTGGGGCGCAGGCGCACTGGGCCGTCAGAGCCCGGAAGTGGTGTGCCAACGGCCTGCCGATCTGTGGCCGTTCTATCGCTCGCCGTGCTCCCTAGGATCGGGCGTTTGCCGGTCACACAGCAGCCCTTTGGATTCAAGGTTGTCGCGACGGTGATCAGCTCGGAGGAGGTGAATGAGCGTCTCGGACGTGCCAGTGAGTAAGATGGCGAGAGCAGGCTTGCGAGTGAGCGGCAGGTTGCTCGGCGCTCTGCTGCGTGCCCTTTGCGCGTGCGCAGTGAGTGTGCATTCAGAGCGATCGATCGGGCACGATTCGCGCCTCCATTTTTCTAGAAGAGAGCGGGAGACCGAGACCCTGATCGGGGGTACGGGGTTTGGAGTGGGGCGGGCGTAGGGAAACGGGTTGGTGCGGTTGGCTGGGGTCTGTAGTGGATTGCGTGAAGGACTGGAGCTAGCGGAGAGGATGGCGGGAGGCCGTACGCCCCAAGTCCGTGTCCCAGAGTTGGTCGGCCAGGCCTGCACCCCGAGCCTCAAAGAGCCTCGGACCCGGCGGGTCCCTGCTTTCCTCCTGAGCGGGGTGGTCGCGTGGCTTCTCCCTGGGACCCCTGCATCCCCGGGTGTTAGCAGCCTTGGGTCGGGCTCTTCCTGCCTCGTGCCTTAGTGTCCTTTCCGGCGACCTGGAGAGGCTCTAAATAGACCTGTGCTCCATTAGAAGTTCGGTGGGGAATTAAGTGAAGGCTCAACCACTTTTTTCTTTTCTTTAAATCTCGTGATACAGCCCCAGGTGTTCCCTAGCAAAAGTAAAGAGATGGCGGTAGGTCAGTGGTTTAAGTTGTGGGCTTCGGAGTACGTAGACTTGCCCTCAACTTTTGGAGCTGACTTTAGCTTGAATGGGTGTCCTAGATTCTTGGAATTCGTTTCATCTCTGTTGTGTCTTATGCAAGGGTAGATTTGTATACATGTATTTCTAACGTAAGTGCATGAATATATTGAATACCTTCGTTTAGTGATCTAATGTCAAGTAGGTGCTTGGAATCGTTTCTGGCAGTAGGAAGTGCTTGATGAGTGTTAACTGTTCAGGAACCCCGTCAGTATGATGCTCAGTGTGGCCTTGCGGGTCTTTTTGTTGTTGTTGTGTTTTTGTTGTTGACTCAGTTGTCACTGAGTCTAGGGCATCTGGCAGGCTAAGCAAACACTGTAACCCTCGGCTGTATCCCCAGGCCTACCTTCTTACTTGCTGTCCCCAGACACCTAGAGCCTAACATCTAACCACACACATACTGATTATTAGCAGATTATGTACCCAAGTTGATATAGAAACTGTCATCTTTAGTTTTGTTTCATTTTCATGGACTGGAGAGCTTAGATCCTTCCAAATAAAACTGAGAGCACAATCTTCAGATCTGCATTTCTCATTTGTTTTGGTGGTATCATTTTAAGTTTGTTTGCGACAGGGTCTCACTATGCAGCCCTGTGACTTCCAGTGTAGACCAGGCTGGTCTCAAAATCCCAGGGATCTGCCTGCCTGTGCCTCCCAAGTGCTGGGACTAAAGACGAGCCACCATGCCCAGCACTTGGCAACATTTTTATTAAGCAATTTAGCTTAGAATTTTTCCAGAACGTTGAACTTGGCTTAGTTTTCATTTTCTGAGCCTCTTTTTTGTGTGTGATGTATTTATGTGTTAATTTACTACCCCATCAAGTAGTATTATTATAGTAATAAGCTCAGTGACCTGGAAATAGGTTTTAAAAATAATAAAAGTCACTCGCAGATTAACCGCCCAGCTGGTGAGGACAGTAAAGTGGTCCAGTCACCGACAGAGTGTCACCCGTCTGCCTCCTGCACCCCCGTTAACAGAAGAAACGGAAGGGATAGCGACAGAGGATAAAAGTTCCAGGTGGGTAGTTTAGCAGAGGAGAAAAAAAGGTGAGGGGTTCTACTGTAGCCATGGGTGGCATTATCTGGGTAGTTTCTGTATGCCGAGCATCCACCTCTGCACTTTCTGTGTACCATCTTGATTAGCCTCCAGTGATCAGGGAACAGCCGAGGAACCTGAACCCAGGAAACCAAGGTCACCAACCAAAGATAATACAGCTAGTCAAGCTGAGAGTGAAAGATGTGATTACTCCTGACCTCGGGGACCTGCGCTGCCAGTAACTGAGGGGTGCCTCTGGTTTTCATCAATGCCTGTTTTCTCTTGCAGCAGTCAGGGAAACCGTCCTCTTCTGCAAAATGTACAGAACCAAAGTGGGTTTGAAGGACCGCCAGCAGCTCTACAAGCTGATCATTAGCCAGCTGCTCTATGACGGTTACATCAGCATTGCCAATGGCCTCATCAATGAGATCAAGCCCCAGTCGGTGTGCGCACCCTCGGAGCAGCTCCTGCATCTCATCAAACTAGGTAAACTAGGAATGTGGATTCGTATATCCCAGAATGGCATTGTAGATGTCTGCCTGGGGCAGTGTTTGAAGTTATTTCTGTGTAGTTTCAATGTCCAGTGTGTGCTGAGTCCAGTGATGGGTACTAAACGGGTAAGTGAAGTCCAGGTGAGGAAGCTGGTGTGATGTATTTTATTTCTATGAGTCATCTGGACATTCCCCTCAAGTCTCGCTCAGGTCTCATGGCAAGTAGCTCCCCTCACCCTTTAAGATATTTCTTCTGGCCGGGCGGTGGTGGCGCACGCCTTTAATCCCAGCACTCGGGAGGCAGAGGCAGGCGGATCTCTGTGAGTTCGAGGCCCGCCTGGTCTACAAAGTGAGTTCCAGGAAAGGCGCAAAACTACAGAGAAACCCTGTCTCAAAAAACCAAAAAAAAAAAGAAAAGAAAAGAGATTTCTTCTGTCTTCCCCATGCTCCTTTGCTCACTTGCTGCCAGAGTGATCCATTTCCCTCATAACATACTATCTGAAAGTTGCTTGGTTCTTTGAATCATTTCCACACATTGTTAACCTTCCCACCAGAATCTCTGCAGATACCGGGACCTTGTGTTGGTCATTGGTAGGTATATCCTGGCGCCTGCCTTACCCTCAGCAGGGTTTTGAAATACCCAGCTGTGTCCACATGTCACTCCCAACATTTGTGGGAAGTTTGTTTTGTTTAAGGTTGCTTTCAATCAGCAGGTGGTCTCCACAGCTCATACACACACACACACACACACGCACGCACACCATTATTCTGGGTCAGGATGGAAGCGTACATAATGGAGAGATTTTGTGTGTTCACAAAAAAGATTTCCCTTGACTTGAGAATGCCACTTGTGAAACTGTCCTGAGGGGGGAAATGGTAAATTAAAATGTTGCACAAAAAGCAACTTTAAATATTTTTAACTTTAAATCTAAGATTTTAATTCTAGATAGCCATAAAAGTGTATAATGTTGAAGCGATATAATGTTAAAGACTTGTTGTGATGAATTTTATTTTAAGTGTTTAAATGACCAAGCAAGTTCCAAGTTACAGTACAGGCCTGTGTTTGTTTTGAAAAGCAAGAGTTGTATGCATGGGAAGAGACCACAAGAGTTCTTCATGTGTTTTGATTCCTCCTGTACCAGTTCCAGTTATTGTTTTTGCGATATATGAGGTTATTCTTGTATCCAACACTTTTGTTTGTTAAGGGTCTTTTTGAGGAGTGATTATTAATATTATTACTGTTTTACTAGTTTGGGTGCTATATGTGTGCAGTGCCCCTGGAGGCCAAAAGAGGGGATCAGATTCCCTGGAACAAGAGTTGCAGATGGTTGTGAACTGCTGAGAATTTGACCAGATCCTTTGAAAGAGCAACCAGTGCTCTTAACAGCTGAGCCATCTCTCCAACCTCTGTGTTTTATTTTGGTTTTAATTTTTTTTAGATTTACTTTTTGTTTTATGTGTATGAGTGTTTTGCCTGCATGTATGTGCGTGTTCCACATGAGTGCCTGGTGCCCACAGAGGCCAAAAAAGATCATCCAGTCTCCTGGAACTGGAATCGTACATGGTTGTGAGTTACCATGTGGATGATGGGAACTGAACCTGAGGATAGGTACTCTTAACCCCTGAGCTATCTTTCCAGCCTCCTTGTTTTCTTTTGAAGACCAGATTTCATTATGTACCCCTGACTGGCCTGGAACTTATTATGTAGACCAGACAGGCCTCAGCTCACTTGCCTCTGCCTCCCATGAGTGCTGGGATTAAAGGTGGGCTCCATCATGCCCAGCTTTTTGTTTGCTTGTGTGCTTGTTTGAGATCAGATTTCTTGTCTCCCAGGCTATCTTGAACTCAATATGTAGGTGAAGCAGATCTTAAACTCATGATCCTCAAGCCTCAGCCTCCTGAGATCACAGGCAACTTTTGTAACACCCAACAAACATATTGTTTATAAACTTCAGTATACTTCAGTTTGGCATTCTTTCAAAAGCATTTCACTAATGTTAGAAGCATAACTAATTCACACCAAAGCTGCTACTAACTGATCACAGCCCTAAAGACTGGAACTCAGGGCTGGAGATAAAGCTTGGTGACAGGGTATTTGCCCAGCAGGTGTGAGGCCCTGGGTTGTCTCCAACACCACAAAACAAGCAAAGTGCCACCTCCCCATTCTAAATGGGGACAGTAAATTAACTACTGGGCTGCTGTTTTTGTTGCATTTTATAGGTGTTGTTAAGAGTGAATTTGGCTGTGGAAGTATTCCCTTCCACAACCCATTCTGCCTGCAGCAGTGTGCATCTTGCATAGGATAGACACAGTGCATGATTTGTCAAACATTTGGTGGTGTTGGTGGACATCACCTTCACTTTAGATCCAGAACTTGTCTTTGCACTTACCAGCTTTTCTCATGCTCTTAATTTTGATTCCTTCAGGGATGGAAAATGATGACACCGCGGTCCAGTATGCGATTGGTCGCTCCGATACAGTTGCCCCTGGCACAGGGATTGACCTGGAGTTTGATGCAGATGTCCAGACAATGTCACCCGAGGCCTCCGAGTATGAAACCTGCTATGTCACTTCCCACAAAGGCCCATGCCGTGTGGCCACCTATAGCAGAGACGGGCAGTTAATAGCCACAGGATCTGCTGATGCTTCCATAAAGATATTGGACACGGAAAGAATGTTGGCCAAAAGTGCCATGCCAATTGAGGTACCATTCCCGCCTACCATTACTCCAGGCAGCAGAGCTGTGTGGTCACCAGCTCTGGCTTGCCTCCTGGGACTGTGGGCTTGGACCAGGTGCCTCTGTACCTTGAGCATCTGTCTCTCCTTTTCTTGTTGGTCCAGGTCATGATGAATGAGACTGCGCAACAGAACATGGAGAACCACCCAGTGATTCGAACTCTTTACGATCATGTGGATGAAGTCACATGTCTTGCTTTTCACCCTACAGAACAGATCCTGGCCTCAGGCTCTAGGGATTATACTCTAAAATTGTTTGATTATTCCAAACCGTCTGCAAAAAGAGCCTTCAAATACATTCAGGTTAGAGATCAGAGGAGCCTTGACTTATTTAGATACAATCTTTTTATGGTTATTTTCTCAGATTCGGGTATTTTGTGACTATTTTTCCAGGTGGTCTCAGTGACTACCCTATAAAGGACATGCCCTAGGTGGCACTTAGAGCAGACTCCATTGGTGTGTGGGCCATGGCTGTCCTCTGCCCAGGTAGGACTGCAGCTGGTCACAGATTCATGGTCACAGGTCTGAGGGTTCATAGTGCACATCACTCTCAGGACTCCTGGTGAGCATGGTGGTCACACTGTAATCCCAGCATTCAGGAGACTGGGCAGGAAAACTGTTACAAATTCAAGGCCAACCTGCTGCATAGTTAGTTCCTTGCCAGCTTGAGCTATAGTGTGAGACTCTGTCTCAAAGCGGGAGGGGGGGGGGGTGGTTAGGGATGGATTGCTTTCATGACACTGAGTTCGGGACTGGGAAAAAAACAAAACCAAAACAAGCAAAAGTCTGCCTTCCCTAAAAGTAACTTACAGGTACCGACACTCTCAGTTGGAACTGTTGAATGTTTCAGAAAAACGATTTGTGGCCCGATACTGGGTCTATGTTACAGAAATGCTCATGTTTTCAGAAGCAGCTTCCATCATTCATTGGTTGGTTTTGCTTAGTATTTGCTGCCCTAGGGCAGATTAGAAAAGCTCTTTTTCATATCTGGCTACATGAATGCAGCTCCTTTAATCTGTTTGCAAGGATCCATCTGATTTCACCCCATGTCCATTTGCAAGTAAAGCTCCTGTCTTGTTTTAGGAGTAACTGACCAGTAAGTAGTTTTAGAAAGAACCAGTTTCCTACGTCCCGGGAAGTGCTTTTGTCCCTCCTGCTTCCTGTAGCTTGCTCCGTCAGGTGCTGGTAACTGACATTGTGCCTCTATCCTCACAGGAAGCTGAAATGCTGCGCTCCATCTCTTTCCACCCTTCTGGAGACTTTATCCTGGTTGGGACTCAGCACCCTACGCTTCGCCTTTATGACATCAACACCTTCCAGTGTTTTGTCTCTTGCAATCCCCAAGACCAGCACACCGATGCTATCTGTTCCGTTAACTACAATCCTAGTGCCAACATGTACGTCACTGGCAGCAAGGACGGCTGCATCAAGCTGTGGGATGGCGTCTCCAATCGATGCATCACAACCTTTGAGAAAGCTCATGATGGCGCAGAAGTCTGTTCTGCCATTTTCTCCAAGAATTCCAAGTACATCCTCTCGAGTGGAAAAGACTCTGTAGCTAAGCTCTGGGAGATCTCCACAGGGAGGACACTGGTGAGGTACACAGGTGCGTGAGAAGGTGATGCTGGCATTTCTCGGGGATCGGATTCCTGCAGAATGAGATACACTGGAGAAAGGGGGAGGTTAGAGAGGGCTTTGGCCCATCCCTAGGCCAAGACAGGCAGCTCCGAAAGAGATCACCAGTGTCCATATATATGAAGTCGACCCAGCAGACAGGAAGAAAAGAAAGCCAGCTCGGCTCCCCCATCAGTTCCTGTTAGTCTCTAGTTTGTAGTGGCTGTGCCCACGGGCTCCCTTTATGGTGAGTCTTGAATTTCCTAGCGCAGTACTCAGTTCAGATCTGGGTGCGGTGAGTGCTGTGTGCTGCTGCGCCTTGTTGTGTTCCCCAGCGGCTAAGAGTGTTGTTTGACAGGAACCTCCTGGGAAGTTCCACTGCCTGCCTCTCTTGTGAGATGTGTGTCTCACTACACTGAACACACCACGGTTATAGCTTGCCAGGGGACCGTTATTGTAAGGGGCTGTCTGAGTTAGCATCTTGGAGAGACATGGAAGAGCTGGTGACATTCAGGCCACTAGGGTGCACCACTGGTCCTCTCTGTGGCACACGCTAATTGCCTAAAGCTAGTCATCATTATCCTTGGTAACTTTATGATACTTTATATGGTGTCGTTTTGGAAAATATCTCTTAACCAGGTACTTCTTGCATGCAGAAGCCATCAGAGTGAACATGGAACTGCTCTGTTTACAAGTGACAGCCCTTGTTTTCCAGGGGATAATGCACTAGGACGGACATGCACCGGACTGCTGCCAAGAGATTAGATGTTTGTGAACACCTGGGGTGTGGTTTATTGGCTTGATTTAGTAGAGAGTTGCAATTGTTTTTCCTGAAGGAATGTCCACGTTACTGATTTCCTAATTCCCAAGGCAGCACCCTGACAGTCAGCATGTCAGGGTTTCCATTCTGGTTTGAAGATTTACTTAGAACACAAAGTGGTTTTGAAATAGTGATGGGAAGGGGAAAACTGAAGAGGACATTGGATGAGTTCAGTTCATCGTGGTTTTTTTACATAGTAGAAAGGTCAGTAATCATAATCTATAGATAGGCTATGGATAAGATTAAAAAAAAAAAAAGATGAGCCCAGATTTCACTCACAGGAAGAGTGAAAATTTGCAGTATTTTGTAAAAGAATTTAAAATGGAAAGTCAGTTATAAAATGAACAGCCATACTGTAAATGCAAGAAGTAGAAGTGAGGAGCTTCGTTCTTGGCTCACCAAACCATCTCTGACTCAAAGGACTGTGTTAGTTTATTGGTGGAAGTTTGAAGAAATCAGCACATTTTACTGAGGGGTAACTTGATAAATATTTCAGAAAGGTAATTGAGTGTCGTGTCAAAAATTTAAATATGTGGTTTCTGTCACACTCTTAGGCGAGTCTGTGTATCTGCACACAGATTGATATCTGTCACCATTACTGTCAGTCAGTGGAAGTTAGGAACTTATGCAAATTAGAAGCCAGAGTTCACTGCTGAGCATTGAGGAGACCTGCCTTGCACCTGTTACTCCATGCAGCCTTTACAGATAAACACCCCTGGTAGCCTCTCCTGAGCACTTGCACAGTGGGGCTTGGGTGCCATTTGTTTTCATCCTCAGCACCCTCGTGGGTAGACACTGGGGAGGTGAGGAAAGGAAGGCTTGAGTTAGGAAACCATCTACCCAAAGTCATGGCCCTAAGGAGCACACACCCCACTGACTATGAGGGGTGTGTTTTTCCTCTATAGTCATGTTCCTCTTACGGATCTGTACCTCGAGCTCTGAATGAAAGTAGCATGTGACCTCTGGTTTCTGCAGTTAGAAGTGCAAGATATTTGGGAGGCTGTCCACCAAAATACAGCCTCATTAAGCAATGAAATGCCCTGGCTCATTCATTTGTACATTAGGTGGTATTTGCAACATAAAAATCTCTTCTCTATATAATCATGAAATGGTAAAGCTTCCCTTTGAAAGTTGGGTGCTCATTAGGTGTGATGTTAGGAGCTTATCCTGAGGAGACAAAGCTGTGTGCAGAGGATTTTAAAACACTCTTCAGTGAATACAAGCTGAGGCCCAGCAGTAAGAAAATCAATAGACGCCAGACAGTGCCCCGCACCATGGGTTTAAACTGCTGTAGAAGATAAATGATGTAGGTTGGTGTTGGCCTTCAAGTACATCGAAGTGAACAGTTGCCTTGGGTAGTAGGCCTGGGGGTGACAGTGTCGGCACACTGCTAGAACAGTGTAAGGGTCTCAGGCTGCCCCTTGCTCCACAGGCTAACATGTTGGTTTGTATGGCAGGCGCGGGTCTGAGTGGACGGCAGGTGCACCGGACACAGGCTGTGTTTAACCACACTGAGGACTATATTTTGCTGCCAGACGAAAGGACCATCAGCCTCTGCTGCTGGGACTCTAGGACAGCTGAGCGCAGAAACCTGCTGTCCCTGGGCCACAACAACATCGTGCGCTGCATTGTGCACTCGCCCACCAACCCTGGCTTCATGACATGCAGTGACGACTTCCGAGCTCGGTTCTGGTACCGGAGGTCCACCACTGACTGAGCTGGCCCCACTCCTAGGGTTCTTGTCTCAGGACTCCGCCCTCCTCCCTGTGTCCTGCCACCAGCTACAGTAGTGAGCAGTTTGTACCATCTGAGGTGGGTGTGCCCGCCTGGCTCCTGCCTTGGATTTGTACATGGAGGCTCTTTTTTTACCTTGCTGTAGAGTTGCTGTGGGAAAAGGTGGAAACAGACTGTACAGTTGTCCTGGTGCAGTGATTTCGCTGTGCTTTCCACCAGCTGAGTAAGTGCAGGACTTGCCATGGCTTTCGACTCTTGTTCCTGGAGAAGGACGGAATATTGAAGGACTCGTGGCCCTGGGAGAGTCTCTCACAAAGACTGCCATCAGGGTCTTTTGCCACCTCTTGCGCCTGTCCTGCCCCCTCTGTATTTCCTTTCCAGAGGCATTTTGGCTCATGCAGAGGTCTGCAGCTCTGAGGATCTCGGGTTTTGTGCCATGTGGAACCACCGTCCAGGGATCCCAGTCCCATCCTGAGGTGACGTCATTGGGTAATAAAGCTCAGATCTACAAGCTCACTGTTTCTTCTTCTTCACGTCAATAAACCTAGGGTTTCTCGGTGCCCTGTCTGCATTCCTGCAGTGTCTTCTTGGTACCAGCAATGCCCACCGTTAGGAATGGGGACTGGCCTATAAGCCCAGTGAAGCAGGAAGATCCAGAACTTAGGGCCTGCCTTGCCTAAATAGCAAGTTTGAGACCAGCCTGGGCTAGGCCCGCCTTTAATCCCAGCTCTCGGGAGGCGGAGGCAGGTGGATCTCTGTGAGAGATCCTAGACTAGTCTACATAATGAGTTCCAGGGCAGCCAGAACTACATAGTGAGACTTTGTCTCAAAAAACAAACAAATGGATGGTAATGATTTGATGGATCTGTAATCAAAAATGTGTGTAGTCTAAGCCACAAGAGCTTGCTAGTGCCCCCGGGCTGGCAGTAACTTCTAATCTGGGTGCGCAGGGGAGCACGGTCTTGGGAGTGCTGCAGTGCACCATCTGATGCGTCTCTCGTGACATGTCTGGGAAGCTGGCAGTGGCTCCCTGGGTCTAGCTGCACATCGGTAAACCAGCCCTGTGTGCACCTCTTACTAACAGAGTTTGCTTTCTGTTTCTGAAGAAAAACCCCTCGGAGCTGGGCAGAAGTGCCTGAAACCGTGAGGTCACTGGTAAAGCAGTGACTAGGCCACAGTAAGTCATTGCTGTGTTGTGGGACATTTTGTTGCAGCCTCACCCCTGGGGTGTGGGGGTCACTGGGTTTGGGGTCACAGTCCTAAAGAGCTGTATTTTTGTATCTACAGTAAGTGTGAACTTACACTTTTATTTTGCATTCTGATTCTCCAGTATTGGAGCGTGGCCACTTGGGGGTGCTACCTATAAGATAAGGAAGCTGCTGGGTAGGGACAAGGGCAGCTGCTCTATCCACAAGCTCCCCACTTCTTCCTCTGATTTCCCTGTTACACTACACAGCAGAGGCTCCTCACCTCTGTTCCCGTCTGCACTCCCAGCACAAGCTGCCAGGATGTAGCCGGTCACCTGTGAATTAAAATACTAACGCCGCTTCACGCAGTCCCTGGGCAGTCCCTGGCTAGTCTCGGTGGCTGTAGTTCCAGGACTGACATTTACAAGGGAACATTCTCTTCTCTGTTTCCAAAATGGTTTCCTCCCCTCGCTCTGTCCCTTCCTTTTCCCTGCCTTTTAAAAGCCACATTTTGAGCTGGTGTCGATGTCAGGAATATCCCACAGACTTGGTGTTCACATCTAGGTAATTGTACTGCATAAAGCTCCAGCATTTGAGTGATGAATTTATATATGGTCAGAATAACCTATGCCTTCTATGTTATTTTTTAAAGATGTGATTTCTAAAATAAACTTTTTTATATAACAGTAACGTAAAGCTAGTTTGTGTTTTTGGAGGTTGCTTTGAGCCGTCCCACACTTGGATGGCACCCAGTTCTTAAGCCAGAATGGTGGGCAGCAACGTTTCACAGCCTGGCGCTTCTTCTAGAAGTCTGAGCTGCCTCCCGCAGGCTCTTTGCTGTTCTCTGAACAGAAAGGACTTGGATATGGCTCCCTTCAGATCAGTTCATGAAAACTCTGCTTACTTGCTTTGTATCTCAGTTCTTCAGAAAAGCAATATAGGAAGTCTGCTCTCAGCTCTGGCCTTGACTTGACAGACAGTGAAGGTGGTCATTTGTGTGGCCCGTGTCCCTTGGGTGCTCAGAGGCCTTCAGCTCCATCCTCTAGCTGGCACTTGAGCGAACAGTTTGCTTCAAGGCCCTGTGGTGTAACAGGTTGAGAGGTGAGGGAAGGCATTGCTCTCAGGGAGACTTGTAAAAGTAAGTGAGCCATCTGTGAGCAGAATTTATTTTCAAGGTCTAAGTGGTAGAGCTAGCAAGAAAGCAAGAGAATTCCTGAGAAACAAGAAAAGCTTGCCGAGATTGGCGGTGTTGGAGCCAGCAGCTGCTCGGGGTCGTCATTCTTTGAGCTGGGCCTCATGGGGTGGGAACTTTGATCAAGACCCAGAAAAGAAAATAGTAAGGGAAAGCATAAGTTATTTTGGTTTTGGTTTAAGTCCCTGAAAGTAAGATTGAGCTTCAAGGTGTCCCACCCCAATAAAAAGATGAGCTTTACCAAAGTCCACAAGCTCTGCACTAGCTTAGGAGTTTATGAGAAGAACAGGATGGTGCAGTGGGGGAGGTCTCTGTGAGCCAGCCTTTGTACACACTGTACCTCAAACCAATGTGGAACTGTTCCCACTGCCGAGACCCCCGGGAGAAGGCCAGCTGTTCCCACTGCCGAGACCCCCGGGAGAAGACCAACTGGGAAACTTAAAGCCGTCTCCAATGGGTAAGCAGCCACAAGTGCCTTACAGAAGCCAGGCCAAGCCTCTATAAGAACATGTCTAAACCCTGGTCCTCAGTTCTCCCAAGTAACAGGATCATGAGCTCACCGTCAGGATACATGAGGACACAAGCAAGCCACCTTGGTGTCAACCAGCGAAAACCAACAGACCTGCAGAGTTAGAGTTATCCGTGCAAAATGTGTACATATGTAGATTATGTCTAAAGAGCCAAGACAAAGTAAATTGGGGGCTAGAGATGTAGCCCAACCAGTAGAGTTCCTAACCTGGGTTCCGTCCATCACAGGAAAGCTCAGATGTTCAAGGTCACCCTATGTATGTAGAAGCTGAAGGCCAGACTGTCCCAAAAGTAAACTAAAGCCTCATGGTGGTACATTCATGTACCCTCAGAGGCCTGGCAGAGGCAAGAAGAGAGCTGTGAATCCAAGGCCTGCCCAGGCACCATAGTTCTCAGCAGCCTGGCTGCCAAGGCAGGAAGATGGCTGTGAATCGAAGGCCAGTCCAGGCATAGTGAATTCTCAGCAGCCTGAACTATGTATCAAGATTCTGCCTTTTTTTTTTAATTATTGTTATTTTAATGTGCATTGGTGTTTCGCCAGTATCTATGTCTGTGTGAGGGTATCAGAACCCTTGGAACTGGAGTTACTGTTGTGAGATGCCATGTTGGTGCTGGGAATTGAACCCAGGTCATCTGGAAGAGCATCTAGTGCTCTTAATCACTGAGCCATCTCTCCAGCCCTCAAGAGTCTATTTTAACAACAGGAAACTGAGGAAAACTGCACAAATTCAGCTTTACTGCTGTGCCCCACTTAATGTTTTTGGGGTTTTCTCCCCTTACTCCCTGGGTGGGTATTTTACTCCTTCTTGAGGCCACTTTTCCAGGCATCTCTTGGCCTGGTGACACCACCTCCCCCATGACAGGTACATGCCAATGACATAGTTTTCTTTCTGGGTTCCTGTTCTGTCAACAGATAACCCTTCCCTGCAGCTCCCTACCCCACCCCTGCATTTATCAATTCTTTTCCATCTTTTTGTCTTCCAATCCTTACTCTGATTCCTTTTCTTCCTCAACCCTCCCAAATCGAGTGTGTGTGTGTATGCATGCGCGCGCGTAGGCATGTTCTGAGCCATTTCTCCCTCCCAGTCTCGGAGATCATGAGGCAAAATAGTGTGAAAACTTTAAGGTCTTAACCCTCCACACACACTCTGTGTTCAGCTGTCTTTACAGGCCCGGTCCTGAGCGCCCAGTGTTGGATACTACTAAACAATAACTTCACGGTTGAAAGTTGGTGTGGAAACCGTGGCTTTCCTAAGACACGTATGAGGCCCTGTAGAAATGAAGTGAGCAAATCCTGTAGAAATGAAGTGAGCAAATCCACTAACCCTAGGAAAGAAAGTTGAGTTCAAACTGCTGTTCTCTAGTGGCACGTGCCTATCATCACAGCACTCAGGAGGCTGAGGCAGGAAACTCTCCGTGATTCCAAGGCCGGACTGGACTGAATACTTCCAGGCTAACCTGAGCAGCAGTGTGAGGCTGAGGAAAGAAAAAAGTACGCTTTTGGCTCATCAAGAGCATTAAGGACATAGCTACAAGATGGGCGTGGCAGCGTGCATGTAATCCCAGCACTTGGGACATGAAGTCGTGAGGGTCAGGAGGAAGGTCGTCATCTGCTGCATAGCATGTTCAAGGCCAGCCTGGGCTATGGGAGACCTTATCTCAAAAAAAGTAATACAAGAGAAACCCAAGGCCTCCCCCGAGAGGTTCTTGGCTCAGTGTGTTGGCTGCAGACCATCGGGTATTTTGAAAGCACCCGGGTTCCCAGAATAGCCTGTAGTTGCAATACTTCCTTGTCAGACTCGCTGGCCTTGAAATGCAGGCAGATTGCGCAAAGTAGCTAAGGCACCTTCTCAGACCTTCATTCATAAAATCAGATGGAGCAAACCTGGACGGAGAAATCAAATGTGCTTACAAATTGCCGACCTAGCCTTCTGGCAGGAGGTAGCCCAACCCATTTCTTGGCCAGATCCCATTTGTTTGATCCTAAATGAGTTTTGATTTTGGTCTAGGCCGAGTTCTCTAGAACATGACGTATCAGTTACAGCATCATAGTTGGTCCATGAACTTGAGACACCCTTCAGTGTGGCAAAGGAGTGTTGCCAGGAGCTTGCCAAGGGGATAGGAACCAACTTTCAACTTGAGTTACTCTGACATCTTTCTCAACTTCAGATCCTATCACAGTTACTTCACTATGACCTTGAGCAAGTTTGTCCTTCCTTTTTGTTTTTTGAGACGGGGTCTCAAATGCTATGGTCTAAGTTTTCACACAAGTATGTATCAGATGTGGACCATATTCCCCCTTACCTCCCAGCCCTTCCCTTCCTCCCCTCCCCTTTCTTTTCCTCCCCTCCCTCCACATAGACTTCTTTCAATGTGTGTGTGTCTAAATGATTTTATGTATCTCTATAAAATCCAAGAGCCACAAATGAGAGAAAATGTTTCTCTTTCTGAGACTTTCTTAATTCACAGTGTGATTATCTATTGGACCCATTGTCCTGCAAATGGTATAACTTCGTTCCACTGGAAGACTGGAAAGAATTTCCTAGTCGCCCTCTGTTGTTGGCCCAGTAGGTTATTTCATGATGCAGCTATTGTGAACAGTGTTACAG